GAGTATTTTTCTCCGGAATCGTTGTAGTCTTTGTTTGAAATTCATCGAAGTCGAGCGAGTCACGACTACGCAATTCCTTTTTTCCACGCGGGTGGGGCTTGGATTAAGCGACCAAATGGGCCATCCACAGCCGTTGGATATCGGCATTGAAGTGCCGATAGACAATAATAACGCTGTTCTTCCAAGGCACGACTTCACGGCGGTGCGAATGCGCCTCTCTAATGTAATAGCCATGGATTTGTGGACGAGGAAGGGAATTCTCAACACTTTTGCGTCGATCACAGCGATCTCGCTCGTCCTCTTCTTCACGTTTCCTCGCGCGATGCTTACAACGGATTTTAAGTCCCGTAAGTTGTCTGCAAGGAAGAAATCGATTAGAATTCCTTCTCTGTTCTTCCAATTTTTTCAGTCTCTTCGACCACTGACCCGATCGTCCCGGCGAATTGCTCCAAGGAAACGCCCTCCAGAGATTTTGATCCCAGAGTGGAGCTCCTACTGAAGTACTGGCAGGAGCTCTATCTTGGAAATGGAACTTCTTCTTCTTCTTCTTCGATCAAAAGTGCCCCCCGAGCTCCACACCTCCAGAACTGCTCACAGCAAACTAGCGCTTGGGACACAGTCGATGCCAGTGGAAATCGACCCAATTGGATCTTTCCCACCGCGCGTGAAAGTCACAATCCAAGAGCTCCAAATGAAGACGTGGTCTTCCGAGGTGGTCCACAGCCTCCGTGGGTACGTGTATAGCATTTTCCAACGTAATCACAGGTTTCCCATGATCATAGTATAGATTGAAGGTGGCGATGATGATAATTTGCCCATGACAAGGCAAGCCCAAACGGATCTATGGCTGCATCAGCACCCCAAGGACTGCACTGATAAGTCAACCAAGTTCTTGGTCAACGACTGGGTCAACTCGCCCAAGCTGGGGCTTGGAGGTCAAATGGTGGCGATGGCGGGTATCTTTGCCATTGCCGTCAACGAGAAGCGGGTACTCGTCACCGACACCCTCAACCGAGCAGACCATGATGAATGCAAAGGTAGGTTGGCTAGCTGTTCAACCAAGGCGTTGACCATCTCTTTGTAGGGTCAGCGAGGGCTCACTGGTCGTGCTATTTTGTTTTGGAAACCTCCGAGGAGTGTAGGGCACAGGCCAAGAGACTTTTGTCTCAGAAAAAGGCATGGAAGCAAAAGGTGGTGACCAATGCCAACTCGTATCCCAAAGCCTACATGTGGTTTGGAAAGGTTCCAGAGTAAGAAGGCTTTGACCTTTGAGAAGGAGATAGTCAACGCGTTGGTCAATGCAGGAAGTGGGGAAGACCGTGGGAGACAATGCAACCTTTGGATGTGGTTGGCGGTGAGATTCTTGGGGGGCACAAGGCTACTGACCGGCAATGGTGGAGGGCACAAGTAAGGAAGCTTTGCTAATTTGTCATTTCTTATCTCTTTTCTGAAACAGGCATTGAGGTATCTTATGAGAGCTCCAAGTGAGTACCTTTGCAAGCAGCTTAATCTTGCTAGACATCACAGATTTGGCAGGCAAGCAGCAGAATTAACTATTAAAACTCTCCCTACAAACTGGCCTGGCTCAGAGGTGAGAATTATATTTCCAACCTTTTTTGCAACAAATGTCATTTATTTGAAATGTAGCAGCAGCATCAGCAGGCAAGCCTTCGAGAGAAAATTTGGACAACTCCGAAGCCATGGCTACCAAGGCCAATGTTGAGTGTTCACGTTAGACAAGGGGATAAAGCTTCAGAGATGAAAATCTTTAGCTTTAAATCATACATGGAGCTGGCTCAAAAAATCCAAACTCAATTTCCTCAACTGCAAGAAATATGGCTTTCAACAGAAATGCAGGTAACTAAATTATATTACACGCTTGACATCTCCAATTTTCATCTAAAAGAATTTTTGTTTGATCTTAAATAAGAATGTTATCGACGAGTCAAAAAACTACACGAACTGGAAGTTTCACTACACAGACATCCCAAGACAAAATGGAACTACAAGTATGGGGGCATATGAGAGAAGCTTGGGAGTGAAAGCGAGCAGCAACAATGCCTTCGTCAACTTTGTCATGGCTAGTGAGTGTGATTTTTTTGTGGGCGCTCTGGGCTCGACGTGGAGCTTCCTCATTGATGCAATGAGAGCTACTGGTGGTAAACTGCGAGCTGGATTCCTCAGCGTCAACAAGGATAGATACTGGTAACCATATAACAACTTGATAAGTTTCTCATTGTTTTTTCAATTAATTTTTGCTAAATTAATGTTTGATATTCACTAGTCACGGAGATTTCCTGAGAAAAAAGATATTTAAGTTCGAGGGACCCTCTTTGGGTTGGTTCTTTGATACGATATCTATAGTCCATCAACTTTGTGCCAGTAGATAGCTGGACTTCCTTGACTCGTGAGACAAAAGCTTGACAGAATTACCCACAAAAATTCCAGATACCAGACCCCATTTTCCAAACAAAGACTAGAATTCAATCAATTTTACAAGGTAGATCAACGATTTTCTAACCATTAGGTGAAACATAGACGTATGAAGTTTCAATCCATATAAACAATGACACTTCCTGAGACACTGAAAAGTTTTCGTTTCAGGTGAGTGTAGGAAAGAGGGTCCCTCGCGCACTAAAACGAAGGAACCTCTCTCGTACAAGTCCTGTTTGAATTATAGCCGTCGGATCACATGTATATGTTTGAGTCATGACCATCGGATATAATCCGTTTTGGAGTGTGGAGGGCTCGAGCGACAATGAGCATGAAATCTGGACCTGGAGTCAAGCAAGAGATCGATTTGTTAGAGGGGTTCTTTCGAAAATCTATGGTTCTTTTCCCGATTGTTGTTCTATTCCTCCTTTGGGCGACTCGTAAGTATAAATTGATTCAATGTCATGATGTGAATTGTGAATTGTGGTTCCATAGCTCCAACGAAATTTTTCCGGCTACCATTTCAGAGCAACGATGTTGATTGTAGAGAATCTCATGTGGATGATTTGATGAAGCTATGGGAAGAATCATATAGCTTAAATGGAACTTCTCTGAGCACCAGCAAGAGTTTTCCAGTTGCTCCACACTTGGAAAATTGTCAACAGCAGGCACTGGAGTGGATGGAATTTGACAATCGCGATGCAAATGGAAGACCACCACTGTGGAGCAGGGAGGATGAGGAATTGGAATTGGAGCTCATGATCAAGAACTCCACAAAGCATTCCATAAAAAATCTCTATCCACCATGGGTACGATCTAACTTTGGCTTGAATCTTTTTTTTATTCTGTTTTTTCTACTGTTCGAACAGATCAAAGGTGGCGACGAGGACAATCTGCCACTGACCCGAGCAGTCCAACGAGATTTGTGGCGCCACCAGCATCCACAAAATTGTACTGATCCCAGCGTGAAGTTTCTGGTGACAAACTGGCTAAACAGCCGCGGACTGGGCCTTGGAGCCGAGCTTGTGGCAATGGCCGGGATCCTGGCCATTGCTTTGCGAGAAAAGAGGGTTCTCGTTCTAACAGACTTTGATCGAGCCAAGCACGAAGATTGCAAAGGTATGAGATGATCTTCTCGAAGATCTTCCCTTGTTTATTTCAATCGTATAGGAGCTTCGCATGGACGATGGTCGTGTTACTTTGTTCCCGAGACTTCGGAGGAATGCCGAGCTCGAGCGATGGAGCTCGAGGGCGATGTCAAGGCATGGAACCAAGGGACAATCGTTGGTCTTGACAATTTTTCTCGAACTTCGGTGTGGACGGGACCTGTTCCAGAGTGAGGATCATAGCTATTAATTGATCAAAGATATTGACTCTAATATTTTCACTACAATGCATTCCAGGTATTGGGGAAGACCATGGGAAACCATGCAAACATTTGACGTGGTGGATGGGGAGCTTCTTACTACACACAAAGGCATGGACCGACAGTGGTGGAGAGCTCAGGTTATTTTATATAGTTTTCTCCAAATTATTATTTTCTATAGATATTATTGTTTTTATTCTGTAGGCAGTGAGATATTTCATGAGATTTTCCAGTGAGTACACTTGTATCCTCCTCAATGGGGCCAGGCATAAAGCATTTGGGAAAGAGGCTGCTCAAGCTGTCATTCAAAGCTCACAAAAGAACTGGCGAAAGGTAGAATCTTCAATCATTTTTGCAATGTTCCATCGATTAAGATTTCTATCAGGTGATTAATCAGCGTGATGTTATGAAATTGTTGTGGGCAAAGCACAGGCCATGGGTACCAAGACCTCTCATAAGCCTTCACGTAAGACAAGGTGACAAAGCTGCGGAGATGAAAATCTTCGATCTAAAGTCGCATATGGCTCTGGCCGAGATTATCCGAGCAAGATTCCCCGATATCAAAGGCATCTGGCTCTCCACAGAAATGCAAGTAAGGAGTCCCTCGAAATCCCTCATCGATTTAACTTGGTTTTCTCGTTCTAGAGTGTTGTGGACGAGGCAGTGTCAAACTTTACATACTGGAGCTTCTATTTCACAAAGGTGGCGAGGCAAAATGGAACAACACGCATGGGCGACTACGAGAGGAGCTTGGGGACGAGACTGAGCAGCAACAACGCGTTTGTCAATCTCTTGATGGCCGTGGACTGTGATCACTTTGTTGGAGGGCTGGGCTCGACTTGGAGCTTCTTGATCGATGGATTGAGGCTCACGGGTGGGAAGCTCAAGGTCGGCTTCTTCAGCGTCAACAAAGATAGATACTGGTAAAAGCGTGATCGAATTCTCGAGCTTGTACAAACGATCGATAGTTGTATATAGATGGAAGAATCCTAAAGTTTGAAGCTATGGAAAAGTTTCTGGACGATCTCACAGCTCAGGCCAAGGAATCGCCCAGGCTTAAGTCTCGAGCAAGCTTCTCTTGCGAGCATCCTGAGCGATGGAAGCTCAAGAGCGATGGCTCTGGCAGCACGCTCTGCTGGACTCCATCAGTGACAGCTTTTCGCGCAGCGACGATTCCCAGAGAGCAAAGGTTAAACCACAAAAATGAACTTTCAAGGTAGCTACTATTAACACAGGTGGATAAACCACTCGTGAAAATATCGAAGAACAGGACTTACTGTACAGTGGAGTTACTCAAACATTGCTCTGCTTGTAGATGGATGTGTCGAGAATTTGCTTCCCGCACATAGCACACACTCCTGTCAATCCCAACGATATAAAGTTCTTAGAGGAATCACAAGAGGGAACGAAAGCACACAAAGTGAAAAAAGAAAGAGAAGGATACCTTTCTTGTAGGAACACGACTGGCAGTACTTTGCGTCCTGGTGGAGCTGCTGCTTGCAAATGACACATTTTGTTGTTCCATAGGGCGTCCATCTAGACAAAGTTTTAGAGAGCCAAGGAAGAAAACGTAAGAGGTTGAATGAAAAGAGGAGAAATTTTGCAAGAAACCTGTGCTTCTTGGATAGCAGCTTGTTCTCATTGATCTTCTGGCCGCCGCTTTGGATTGTGTTGCTCGCGCCGTCCTTCCATTTGTCTGGAACCACGACCTTGCCCAATTTCTTGACGCCTATCCATCAAGATCCGAGAGCTCCATCTCAGCATTGGAAAGAATCGAGAGAGAAGGCTTACTTACACTTGTCGCACACCATCCTCGCTCGATCAAGCGCTCTCGATTTCGCCTCGCGCGATGGAAGAACAAAATTAGGGCTATACGAAAGCCCTAAAAGTATCAAATGGAAAATGTATTTTAGGGTTTCTACTTTTCTAGGGTTTTAGCGATGGAGGAGGACGAGCTGCGGCGCCAAGCCCAGGCGATCGAGGCCTGCATTGCGCCGCTCCAGGTCGCGATCAAGGATGTGGAGCTCCTGTCGCGGAGGATTCCTGCGGCCGAGGATTTCCACTACTACTCCAATTTCTCGAATTTCCGGGGGCCCGTGGCGAGCATGAATGCGCGCGCCCAGGCGCTGCTCTCCGAGGTCGGTACGTGCAAGCAGCTTAGATCCGAGGCATCGGCGTGGCCGGCGGATGTGGAGGAATCATACGACTGGCTTGTTGGTGTCCAAGACGATGTTCTGGAAGGCGTTGGATCGGCTCTGGATGAATTGGGCCTGGGAGCTGGGAAGAGACCGCCGGATTTTCTTCTCCGGAAGGGCAAGAAGAAGAACGCTCCTTTTGCGAGTGGCAATGCGAGCGAGAGTAAATCCCCCACCACGTCGCAGAGAGCTGTGAAAGTGGCCTCTCAGAAGAAGGAGCGGCTTCCAGTTCCTTTCCATGTCAGGTCTCTTCCCCGGCCACAGGACAAGTTCGACTACCCGGCTGATAACTCCAACTCGCCTTTCAAGCATCTGTCTAGAGAGGTGCTGCTGGGTCGGTCACAGGCTATGGCTATGGAGGAGACTGGAAGTGCCAAGCCTCAGTCAGTGCTCGAGCTTCATGCTAAGAGCTTGGGTTTGATGGAGACACCGGCAGTGCATCCTCTCAAGGTGAGATACATGGCTCTAATTCCATTGTTTAAAGCCATTTGCGTGGTTTTGACTTACAACATGATTGACAGGATTTTGTTGCAGGAGGAGCTGACAAGTATGGAGTATTTGAAGGAGTTTCCTGCTGATGGACCTGATGAGCCTGTGAAACCAAAGTCTTTGAGTGAGACGCCATTGTTTATCGTGGAAAGCCTTCCGGCTTTAGAGACGATGGCTGCGAAGCTGCATGCGAGTTCCGAAATCGCGGTACCTTTCTTGTTTCTTTTGCTCATTCTTGTTAACTGGATACTCTTGTTCATCTAGGTGGACCTGGAAAACCATCACTATCGGTCTTTTCAAGGCTTTGTATGCTTGATGCAAGTCTCTACGCGTTCCCAAGACTTTATTGTGGATACCTTGGTTCTCAGAAGCCATATTGGCCCAGTCTTGAGAAGTGTCTTCGCAAATCCTTCTATCCGAAAGGTATTTCTGTTTCATCTACTGTACAGAGATTTGAGCACTTCAGTGCAGGTCATACATGGATCAGACCGTGATATTCTGTGGCTTCAACGGGATTTTGGCATTTACGTGTGTAACTTGTTCGACACTGGTCAGGTCTGTTAGTATCTAATGTGCTTTGGCTTCCTTCTTATCGACTGATGTAGGCTGCGAGAGTGTTGCGGATGGAGAGATTCGGATTGGCTTTTTTACTGCAGACATTTTGTGGAGTTACTCCTGATAAGCGGTATTTAAATTTGTTTCTCTAAAGGATTTGGGGTTTATTATAACATGGTATCAGGTATCAGCTTGCCGATTGGAGACTTCGTCCACTCAGTGCTGAAATGTTAAAGTAAGCCTGTGTTTCCTTTTTCATTTCCAAGTAATTGTTCGTCTTGCTTTCTCAGGTATGCGAGAGAGGACACGCATTACTTGCTGTACGTTTATGACAAGATGAAGGGGATGCTTCGAGACGCAGAAACTACTGAGGATCTTTATCTGGAGGTAGGAGCGTTGTTTTTGTTACTATTTTGGTATCATTATGGATATTATTTCAGGTCTGTCAACGGAGCCGCGACCTTTGCTTACAATTGTATGAGAAGGAACTCTTCACTGAAAGCTCGTTTTTGCATATTTATGGGTACGTATTTGACAGCAATTGTTCATTTGAAATATTGGATTTCACTCTACAGGCTAGCTGAAAAGAACTTGACCCCCGAGAAACTTGCGATAGTTGCTGTAAGTCATTTGGGTTATTAAATTAGTTGCAGCCTAACGTCTTTGAATTTTCAGGGATTGTACGCTTGGAGGGACAAACTTTGTCGAAGCGAAGACGAGAGCACTGGATACATTCTACCTAATAGTCTACTGTTCCGTCTTGGTATGCGCATCTTATTATTACAGGTCAGGTACTTGACATAGTGATGAATACAGCTGAGGATGCTCCTCAAGATGCGAAAAGGCTACAAGGAATTTTAAGGCGTGGGCACCCTGTTGCGGCCTTTCACTCGGCTGCTCTTCTAAAAGTGATTCGAGACGCGGCAAAGACCGTTGTCACGCAGCAACCAGTACCAGTTCCAGAGCCATCCAAACCAGAAGAAGTTGAAGAAGGCGAAATCAACGATACAATGGTGCCAACCAGTCCGGCAGCCACCGAACATTTTGTCCAACAGCTTGACGTGGTGACCACTGTGAAGACGGTTCCATCGGTCCCGGAAGGCACTTCGCTTGCCGTGTTCGATGAACCAGGTTTCGAAACCGTTGAGGAAGCCTTGGAAACGTCCGCTGCGAAGCTACAGCAAGAGACTGTGCCTACGATGCAAGTCAAGAGGTCATCAGTCGCAGACGCACTCTTCCGGGCTTCCTCCGCACATCTCGATAGCGACGAAGACGACGATGAAGAGGCGATGGCAAAAGCTCTGGCCATACGGGCTTCACTCTCGTTCCAGAGCGTCAAGGCAGTCCCTATGGAGGAACAGCAGATTGTTCCCGACGGGAAGACTAGCTCAGTGGCGGAATTGGAGATCTGTTCTCCGGTGGTGGAAGTTACTGTCCCGTTCTCCAATCTGGAAGAAGTAATATTGCTTGAAGATGGCGATAACGAAACCAAGGACACCACAGCGGTGGACCAAGCCAGGGGTGATCAAGGCGACGAAGATGGTACGCCTGCTACGAGAGATCCCGGAGCAAGCGAGCTACCTCTCTCGCTCAACGAACGTTACGGTGGTAGCGGCAAGCAGCAGCAGAACAGGAAGAGAGAACGGATGAGAAAGGGCCGGAAGCGAGCAAACGATTCCGCGACCGGTGACGCTGGTGCCAAAGACGAGGCCGAGGTGACGCCGTTCAGCGTGAAGCGGGACAAGAGAGAGCCTCACTTCGATCCGGCCGTGAGTGCCGAACCAAAGCTAAACGGTGTCCTGCAAGGCGGGAAGAGGAGGACCGTGTTTCCAAAGTCTGGTAACAGGACTGCGATCTTCAAGTAAATTGAATATGTTATTTTTCTTGGAGAATCGATAAAAAGACATTCTAAAATCCAATATTACATGTTGTAAATCCTGTTGTGGCCACGCTTTCCATGGCAACTTTGCTACTGGGTGTATCAAGGCTATGGTGACGATCCTAACCGCTTGCTCCAGCCCGGCTCTCGTCCAAGTGGTCGGAGCATGGAGGAGGCGAAGGGCTTTGACGCCATGGATGAAGCTCTCCTGGACTTGGTGGAACATCGCGGCCTATGGAATTCAGCTCTAACGACGCAACTGAGAGCTAGGTGACTTACGTTTCAAGTTGGTGAGCATCTGCTGGAAAGCCAGCGTCCAGTCTCACGTAACCCAAGTTGATCGTTGTACGGGAGATATTGCCCACGGTTCTTAACGGGTAGGGAGCTGTCTGGGGATCGATCAACATGAGCAACATGTATATATAAACTTTAAAAAAAGGTGGAAAAGACAAAGAGCCTTGGTATATCAGCAACTGAACCTTTAAATCTATCGATTATTAATGGCTATTGTAGTTTTCTTTCTGATGGCTTTTATTTGTAATGTTTATTGTATGGGATATGTTGAATGGGGAGAAAATAATACTTTTACTGAAAATGAGATGAAATATATTATAAAACATGGTTTCCAATTTCTTATTAAAAAAATTCAAACATATGGTGATTATCCACCAGATTTTAATGATTTCACTTATGTAGATTTTAGTAGAGGAGCCGTTGCCGTAAGAATTAAACGCACTGGTTTAGCACAGTCAACATGTTCAACTGAAACTAATACTATTGTTGGTCAAGCGCTAAAACAAAATTTTGGACGTAAGTTAAATTTCTATAAAATGATTATGATCCAGACTGGTTCAAAATCTTGTAAAATTGTGGGTGATATATATATACTTGAATATAATTTTCTTTTATGGTTTAGTAACAATCAAATGAAACTTATTACTAATGTGCACTCATATAGTTATCAAGGATATGTCAGATGTGATACAACTAAAAACACTTTAAATGCTGGTTTTAAAAATAATATACTTTATAAAGAACAAATGTTGATATCTGAAAATGGTAAGAATATATTTTATATTGCATCAAACTGTAAAGCTACACTTTATTCAGGAAAATATCGTTTATGGCAATCTAGTAATTCTGAAGATTATTTTAAATTTTGCTATTGGAAAACTCAAATTGATGGAAATTCTGTAATATATAATGAGAAGAATAAAGCTTTATGGTCAATACAATACTATTGTTCAAATTGTTTAATTTTTACATACTCAATTATACAAAATGATTGTAATTTTGTAATATATAGTTCAATTAGACCACACAGTGTAATATGGGATACAAAAACATATAATCACCAAAATTGTTTAAGATAATATACTGGTATTTATAAATGAATATTGAGCTTCATTAGATTTATTTAGTTTTATATTAATAGTAATGTTTGCCCTTTTCTGGTCATTCTCAATCAACACAGTCTTATTGGGCATAAGATATTCAAGGGTTAATACTGAATTACTTTTATAGTTAGACACATGAAAACTATTTTGTCAATTTAGCAATAACATTCTACTTTTTTTTAAAGGATGGTTAAGTAATTAAAAGTCAAGTGATGATAAATTCTAGAAATTTATGTCAGTGACTTCAAGGAAGTTGAACCTGTTGTAAAGGGGTTTTTATTTTGTATTTTCACATATAAGAAAATTATTTCATACTAGACATCAAATAGTCCAAGCATTTGATCTATTGGTTTTTATAGTTGGCTGGAGGTATTTCACAAAATATTTATCGCTATAATGAGAAAAATTACTGATCGATCTCAAGTTCTTGTTAATAATACTAACTTAAGTCATATTGAGGAAAATAGCACTGAGATCATTCTCAAAAGGTTATCAAGATTTCCTAGGAGAATGATGAAGACATCTTCTTGCGGTGTCTTGGGGCAAGTTCAAGTAGTTTGCAGTACTTTCCCATAAACATTTTTGAGATTGAATTTAAAGTAATGCAAAAGTATTTAGTCAAGGTTGAGACAAAAAACAGAGTTATTGAAGATGAAGGATTAAATAACAACAAAACATGATTTTACTGCTTATTTTCAAATCATGCAATCAAGATTCCTACTTTGATGCAGTTAGTTGTGATAAGTTCTAAATTGTTTTTCTTAAACTTGCTATTAAAGGGATTAAGTTGCAATGCTCAGTTTATTTTTAGGAACTTTACTATTTCTTCTTAAGTAATTTGGTGTTGAGTTAGTTTTGAGTTTAGTGGGAAAGAGAATAATATTAGAAAGGTATAACATTTATACTGCATTTTATTATTAAGTACTTAATACAATATAAACCTTTATAGTAGTGATATGGCTTTGCTTGTGGTATTACTTGATTAGTGATTAAGTCATTGTGATTATGTATTATATCCTTGTGATAATAAATAATATACTTATGAAGTGTTTATGGTGATGGTAGTCTACTTGCAAAGTATAGTATCATTGTTAACATTAGTGCATTTGCTAATTATATTAGTGTTTAAATAAACAGAGTAGTAAATTAGACAAAATTACAAAGAAATTTAAGCTTTGGCTTTTCTTCAAAAAGTAGCTTAGTTTTACATAGCAGTTAATTGTTAATTTATGTTAAATTTAACTTGGGATATTTATTATTAATAATTTTTATCAAGACTTAAAGACTTTCTATTAAGACTTGTTTGTTATGAAGTTTTGATGTAGAAGATGGATTTATAAAGGATCATAATTTGTTGAGCATAACTTATCGTGTTTAATTTTTAGATTGATGCAATCATTGGCTTTCTCATTATAAAGTTTTGGTTTATGGATGTGTTGAAGAGATCTCACATTATGGGTTGCATTAAACTTAGTTGATACAAAATTTATAATCATTATTATCTAAAAGTTTAATATTAATTCTTCAAACTTTAGTTGTTATGTTTATTTTTCCCTTTTGTTAAGAGTTATTAAAGAAAACATTCTGCCTGCTCAATTTGTTTCTGCATCTTGAAATCATTAGTGATGATTAATCATCATCAGGATAGTTGGTTATGGTTTGCTCTATCTTATGCAAATAAAATTGACAGCATAAAGAATCCTTGGCTTTGTAGTCTCAAAGGAGGAACATTCAATCCAAATGATTCTCATAAACACTATGATTTCCAAGGAGAGCTAGAGGTTATCAGTTTCCTCACATAGCTAAGATGTCTTGGCCGTTACAAAACATGCCCGTTTTGGATGGCCAGCAAGCCCCTTCCTTTGTGTCCTGGACATCTGATGCTTCTCAAATACTAATAGTATATTGCTGGAAGGTGGGGAGGAGTGAAACACAGCTGCTAACTTTAGCTTGTGAACGAGTAAGTCAAATAGTTCTTACACATCATGTTGATTTTATATGGAAGAGAATGTGGGATTTAAAGTTTACGACTGGTAAGACCCCGTTTGGTGTCTAGACCAATAAAACAATATAAAGTTTACATGTATGTAGTGGTGGTGATTCTTCAATGAAGATCAGTATATGATGTTGTTGGAGTTTCAATTACTAGACAAAACAAATCTTTCTACCTTTGAATGTAAATATGGTTTGATAAAGTAAAGAGCAAAGAATCACAATCGTTAGATTGATATCATAATATCCAACTTTTTCTCATTTTGTTTCTGTGAAAATGTATCAACTTTGGAGCTGCTTAATTTTCTGGACACTGGGAGTAGCGATTCTTTTTGTCACGGCTACATGGAGACCTGCGGTGGTGTGAATGGTTGCTCCGGTAGTCATTCCCACCTATGAAGAAACGTTAGTTGAATCATCTGAGCAAAAGAGAAAACAAGGAGAAATCTTCACTGGTGGAGCTCCTTGGGCCAGCTTGAAATCAAAACGACGAACAAGCATCGCTACTGCCGTGACAGTCTAGAGCAAAGCACACCGATTTTCATTAAGAAGTTAAAGAGGCAGTGATCAGTTTTACCTCGAATGTGGCAAACATATCACCAACACACTTGCGAGGGCCGCCTCCAAACGGCAAGTACCTGAGAAAACCGAATGGCTTGATCCAAGAAGCGAACTTCATCATACTTTATCTTACTTGAAATTCTCTGTGACTTCGTTTGGATCTGGCCCATCCAGAGGCCACCTCTCAGGTCTAAACTCGTGAGAGTGCTCCCATAGCGATGGAGAGCGATGCAAGTTCCATAGAGATATGAAAATGTCCTCTCCTCTACGCGCAAACATGGATGAAGTTTAGAAGTATGAGCAAGAGATAACGAGGGAGTGTTTGGAAAACCTCTTAAGTGGATAGCCTGCGAGTACATCGTCCTGGAGTGATCTTCTTATCAACACTGGAGGCTGCGGGTAAAGCCGCAAGGACTGCCAGAGAAAAAGGAAGTTTTTTGCTAACGTTGAAAGCAATGGATAGTAACTCACCTCGTTAATGACTCGTTTTGTGAACTTGAGCTGCTTCAAATCCTCCAAAGTCGGGCATTTGTCCCCTAGAACAGCATCAACCTGAAAATTTGAAGAACTTGTAGTGCAAACTTTGGAAAGATAGAAGAATTTTACCTCGGCTTGAAGCTTTGTCATGGCTGCTGGATTCTTTTAACACATTTCATTCTCATAGTTAGATTCGTTTTCTCCCTGGACTTTTTTCTTTTTTTTCCATCGTCTTCCTCTTGTAAAAGACGAAAGTAGCTCACCTGGATTAGAAGATGTAGTGTCCAAGTTAAAACCGCGGCAGAAGTTTCGTGACCCGCAATCAGCATTGTCATCAAGTCGTCTCGTAGCTGCTGGCTAGAAACCTGATGGAACTCCATCAGTTTTGTTACTACAAACTCAAAGTAACGATCAAAGAATGCTCACTTCGTCTCCTGACGCTAGAAGAAAGTGTAAGATACTTGGGTCTCGATCGCTCACATACTCTTCGTGGAAGAGATCGTCCTCTTGATCCACCAGCCTCTACACAGAGGATTGAGAACAAGCAAACCACATAACCAATCGACTGCCAAACCTTGCAAGTCGAGATCAATTCGTCCAGGCTTTTGTTCACCAGCGTCAATGCCACTGCTACCTTCTTCTGTCTCGGGAAAATGCTCGTAGCAAATGGTAAATTCCAGTAAGGAATTACAGCAGTGCTTCGAGCTTCGGCCTCTCGCAAAAGAGTGTACACTGCCTACACGCAAGATCAAAAGTTTTAGTCATCACAAGAAAAAAGAACAAAAGAAGAAAAATGGTGTCAGTGTCAAGAACAACAAATGTAAGGAATCGTACCTCTACTATCCCCGTGTCTGTAGACAAAGAATCAAACTCGTAGTTAAACACTGCCTTTCCAATGATATCGAGCGTCAATCTCGAGAAGAGTGACTCCATCTCGGCCGAGATTTCCTTGCTTGCTGCTGCATCAAGCTTGTCACAGAGCCTCAAGCTTGCTCTTCCAAACAGTTCTATCATTTTCTCCACGTACTGCGTAGAGTGAAAACGTGAGCTTGTGCACCTTTGAGAAGGAATATCGGTATACCTTTCGATGCAAGGATGGAACTATCGCTCTTCTTCGCGCTCGCCAGATTTCTCCATCAGCAGGAATAAGTCCGGTTCCCATGACGAACTTGAGGATTTCTGCCAAGATTCCCTGTAAGTTTGAGAATGAGCTATGGATCTTACGCAAAGACAAGAGAACAGAGTAAAAAAGAAAAAGATCGAATGATCGGACCTTGGAGTAGGACTTTGCATTGTCCTTGAGAACGTGTTTCGTGACTTGCGGGTCGGAGACGATGATAAAAGACTGAAAGAAGAAGTTGAGAGCCATGGAATCATAGACAGACTTTTTCAAAGTACCTTTGGCCCAAACGAGAGCCTGAAAATCCCACCATGCTGTGTGTACAAGTTGTAGAGCGGCACGAAAAATGGCTCTCCAGCGATGGCTCTCACGTCTGCTCGAGCCACGGGAAATTGTTTCTCTGCCTTTTGTGAACTCCACTTCTCGCTCCATTTTGCGAGGAGGTCTCCGATCACGCCAAAGCTGTTAGCTGGAGAAGAAGAACAAAGAAAAAACCACGGGAAGAAAAATTCCAGAGAAGAAAGAATTTTGACATCTTACACTGGGTTTCTGCATCGCCATTGTTTTTCTTCGCTGCGACTTGGATTCTCGTCCCTGCGAAGAAATTCAAGGGCTTTGCAAACTAAAGTCTCCAAGAGCTTGGATTGATCACTTACGTGTGGCTTGAGGATGGTTCTTTGCCGGGAATGAGCTCCAGCGCGTGGAAGAGTTTCCATTCGCGAGCGCGCCATGGAGCGCCAACATTGTTTGTCTCCACAAAAACGATACCTTTGCGAGTAGTGCCACAGATTCCAAAAACTTTGTATACTATTTCTCATTGTTTAGAGTTTCTTACGTGAATGTTACATAAGCTTGCAACGGCCGTGACTGTGTGGAAGAGTCTGGTGTTTCGTTCTAGGCAAGCTAGAGTTTTTTAAGAGAATGGCCAGTGCTTCGAGGCCTCCAAGGCCTCCTCTTCCTCCTTCCACGACCAAAGCTCTAGTAAAACAGGAAATGTCGAGCATGGCTAGCAGCAGGAGGATCAAAGCCTTGCATCTCATTCCACTGCTTTTGATCCTGTGTTTGCTCATTCTCTACGGAGCGAGCAACGCTTCTTCTTCCCAACCCAAGCAAGGTAAAGTTTAGTGAGTTTCCTCATCCATCTCAGCTCCAAGGTCTCCAGATCTAAAGAACTTCGAAGAAAACTTTGAAGAGAGCTTGGAAGAGGAAACGGCAACCGGCGCGGAGAAAGTCACGCAAGTTCCTCTCAACTGGCGACTCTCATCGAGGAAACTGAGGCTCAGATTTCCTAGAAAATCGGGAGGGACGAAGCTCGAGTGACAATCTTCTTCTGCTTGATAGTACATCTAGAAACTACATATATGAACAGTTATCTCTTCTTCCTCTCCTCTCCTGTTCTCACTTTCCTCACGCATACACGCTCGTATAAACAGCAAACTTACTTGGAGAGAATCTCTCGATCTCAGACAGTGGAAGGCGGAAGAAGTCCGGCTCGTTCGTTCAAATCGGCTGCGGTCTGCATAGCTGCTCCTACTCCTCCCGGACGAGGCAATCCCGTGGGAGTGTGACGAGCTTCCGCTTCGATCACTTTGATCGCGTCCTCCTGCGTTACAACTTTGTCCGTTGCAAGGTAAGTCGTAGCATCCTGGCAAAACAAAAAAGGAAGAAAAACTGTGAAACGGGGAGAAGGAAAGAATAAAGATTACCGTGAGGAGATCTCCAATGGTTGTCTTCGCAAAGTCGTCCACCCGAGGATTAAGTTCCGCGGCCGACTGTGCCGTGGAAGACAAACCTCCCTTGCTCGTCACGGGAGCTCCAGTTGCTCGTGTCTCGGCGCTCTGGATAGCGCAAGCATCGCTATGCTCGATCGGCTGGTCGATTGCTCCCAGCGCTGCGGCCTCTAAAGCCTGCTCAGAGCAACTTTAGCTAGAGCACAGCAAGAACACCGAGAGAAAAATGGAGAACCCTATGAAATTTCTCACCTCTCCAATGGTGACGGCATTGGCGGAAGCAACCTCTGGAGCAGTAGGCAACGGACGAATCACACCGGTGACTGGAACGTTCGCTACAAACTCCGTGTCAATGGCGGCACCAGGAACGACGGTCTCTCGGACAGTCACACCGATGTCTGCTACCGGGCTGTGAGCGTCGGCTGAAAGAGCTCCAGTCTTCACGTTGTGATCGGCCGCGGCTTGCATGAGCGATGCCGCGCCGTGCTTCTGCGTCTGACCGAAAGCCTGAGTCTCGGCGCTTTGCATCAAGGCCGCGTCCTCGGAAGTGATGGCCTGCTTACCCATCTCTCCCGAAACGTTGAAAATGTCTCCATAAGTCACTGGTCGCTGCATCTGTTCTTGGCTCATTTTTTTTCACGTTGGAAGTTAGATTGTTCGTGCGTTGTGGGTTGAAAGAGAAAAAAAAAAGGAATTTTCCTTAACCTGTAAGTACTTAGTTGTGAGAAAATGCTCTAAAACAAGAGATAAGTGACTAAAAGGCAGGCTTTCCATAGCTAAAGCGATTCAAGCAGCAAATAGACCGACAGATTAGATCCACTGTTACAGCAAAAGAATCAAGCTAAACATCCCCCAAGCATTTCTACATCTTAGAACACACAAATTTAATCCAAGAACTACTCACAAGAGTGCGATTAAGCACGCATTTGCTATCCAAGGCCAAGAAGAATGAAAGAATCGCGATCGAGTAGAAAAGATACCTCTTCTAGCGCTTCCAAAGCTCCGCCTTCTTCAAATCTCTTGTGTGCGAAACATCTTGCCCTAATGTATGGTTTCTTGTAAGTCTATTGGCTCGACGCGTGTCAACACGTGGCTCGACAAGCGACGCGTGTAATTAACGCAATTTTACTCCAAGTCTGGCGTCCGGGAGCGTCCTCGTCTCAAATCTTGAGCGCTCTCACTCTTCTCTTATCGGCTTCCAAGCGTCCACGTGGACGACCGTCAGCCCACCCGCGAAGATCCACAATGTACCACAATAAATCGATTTATATTTTCTCGCACTATATGGTTTAAAACCACACCTTTATATCCATTCCCAGCGTATTGGGCCAGTGTGGGAATAAGCGAGGCGGTAATGGCAATGGCGGAAGCGGCCGCTACTCTTCCAGCAGCGAAGTTCCCCTCTTGCTCATCGATTTCTTCGGTCGCCGGGAACTCGCAAGCGAGATTATGCTGCGGCGCCAGATCGAGAGCGCCGTTTGTGGGCCTCCGGGGCTTTCCAGGGCTCAGATTTTCAGGGCAGAATGGCGCGGCCAAGAATGCGCGGGCTTGCAATGCTGCGAGGCGTGGGATTGTGTGTATGGCGGCTTCCGGTAAGTCTTTTGTGATTCTACATAGCCAGCTATGGATTTTTGTCATCGAGATTTTTCTTGGTTCCTTTGGATATGGTCGGTCGTGCTATGAGTTGCAATTCATTGGCATCTTGGTTTATAGATTTTACGCGAGCATCATAGTCATATCCTCTATCACGAAGAATTTTCTTTGTGTTCTTGCAAATCTACGTAGCTATAGCACGGAAAGAACGTTCCATAGTTTTTTTTTTTTTGTGTGCTTGCTTCTATCAAGAAAATATTTCTTTTCATACAATTCATACTTTCTCTGGTTGCTTACATTCGAATTTATTTTCTCACACAGATACACGAGAGTTTCCACTCGAGGACTACCGAAACATTGGAATCATGGCTCACATCGACGCTGGCAAGACTACAACAACCGAGCGCATTCTTTACTACACCGGCAAGAACTACAAGATCGGCGAAGTTCACGAAGGAAATGCGACCATGGACTGGATGGAACAGGAAAGAGAACGAGGCATTACTATAACTTCCGCTGCCACAACCGCCGTGTGGAAGAACCATCGGATCAACATCATTGACACTCCGGGGCACGTCGACTTTACTCTTGAGGTGGAACGAGCTCTCAGAGTTTTGGACGGGGCTATTTGCCTCTTCGACAGCGTTGCCGGTGTGGAGCCACAGTCAGAGACCGTGTGGAGGCAGGCTGACAAATACGGGGTGCCGAGGATCTGCTTTGTAAATAAGATGGATAGGATGGGAGCCAATTTTTTCCGGACGAGGGACATGATCGTCAGCAACTTAGGAGCCAAACCGCTGGTACTACAGCTTCCGATAGGAGCGGAGGATACATTCAAAGGGGTGGTCGATTTGATTACCATGAAGGCTATTTTGTGGAGCGGAGAACAGCTAGGTGCGAAGTTTAGCTACGAGGAGATTCCCGACAACTTGGCAAAGGACGCGAAAGATTACAGGGCACAGCTTGTCGAGCTGGTGGTGGAACAAGACGATGAAGTTATGGAGCAGTACTTGGAAGGAGTGGAGCCGGATGAAGCAACCATCAAGAGACTTATACGGCAGGGAACGATCTCAAACAGCTTTGTCCCAGTTCTTTGCGGATCGGCATTCAAGAACAAAGGTGTGCAGCCTCTGCTGGATGCGGTGATAGAGTTTCTTCCTTCTCCAGTGGAGTTGCCTTCGATCAAAGGGACTGACATGGACGATCCGGAGGTCGTTCTCGAGCGAAAACCATGTGACAAAGAACCATTCTCGGGGCTGGCCTTCAAGGTGATGACAGATCCTTTTGTTGGAGCACTGACGTTCATGCGGGTCTACTCCGGCGTTCTCACGGCCGGATCTTACGCCCTCAATGCGAACAAGAACAAGAAGGAGAGGATCGGGCGTCTGCTCCAGATGCACGCAAACTCACGGGAAGATGTCAAGGTTGCAGTGACTGGAGACATCGTAGCTCTCGCTGGTTTGAAGGACACGATCACAGGGGAGACGCTGTGTGATCCAGAGAAGCCAGTGATCCTGGAAAGAATGGACTTCCCTGATCCCGTCATCAAGGTGGCAATAGAACCAAAGACGAAGGCTGATGTCGACAAGATGTCAACTGGCCTTATCAAGCTTGCGCAAGAGGATCCGTCGTTCCATTTCTCCAGAGACGACGAAACAAACCAAACAGTCATCGAAGGCATGGGAGAGCTCCATCTGGAAATCATCGTTGACAGGCTGAAACGGGAGTTCAAGGTTTGCTTCGAGAATTCGCTACAAGATTGTGGTTCTAAAGTCTTTTCTGATTCAGGTGGAAGCTAACGTGGGAGCTCCACAAGTGAACTATCGCGAGAGTATCTCCAAGCCAACTGAGGTGAAGTACGTACACAAGAAACAGTCAGGAGGACAAGGCCAGTTCGCAGAGGTTGTGATTAAGTTCGAGCCACTGGAGCCTGGCAGCGGATACGAATTCAAGAGCGAGATCAAAGGTGGAACCGTTCCCAAGGAATACGTTCCGGGGGTGGTGAAAGGCCTCGAGGACAGTATCAGCAACGGGATCCTGGCAGGCTACCCGGTGGTGGACTTTCGAGCAACCTTGGTCGATGGTTCTTACCACGACGTCGACTCCAGCATCCTGGCGTTCCAGCTCGCAGCTCGGGGAGCTTTCAGGGAGGGGATTCCCAAAGCAGGGCCCAAGCTTCTGGAACCAGTGATGAAGGTGGAAGTGGTGACACCGGAGGAGCACATGGGAGACGTGATCGGAGACTTAAACTCGAGGAGAGGCCAGATCAACAGCTTGGGAGAGAAGCCCGGTGGCTTGAAGGTAAGGCTGGTTCTTCTCACGAATCTTTCGCTTCATAGCGTTTTTCTCTGGTGAGAGTGAATCTAAGCTCGGTTTGCTATGGTTCCAGGTTGTGGATGCGTTTGTTCCACTGGCGGAGATGTTCCAGTACGTGAGTAATCTCCGAGGAATGACAAAGGGACGAGCAAGCTACTCGATGCAGCTCTCCAAATTCGAGATCGTGCCACAGCATGTCCAAACGCAAATCACCTCCAAAGCTCAAACAGTCGCTGCGGCCTAAAACGCTTCTCTTTAACTTCCTTCGCGCGATTTTAAAGATTTTGTATAACAGCATATTCGAAATGCCTTGAAATCTGGACGATTCAGAGCAAAACGTCACTTTAAACCTCAGCCGTCGAGATCGGGCAATCTCAGCCGTCAAATTTAGAGGGGTTTAGGGTTATTCAGCCCTTCACAGCAAGAGGGCTTCTCACGGAGATGGAATTGCTCGTCCAGATGAGCTCTCCAAATGCCCATTTCTTGGAAAGATTTTGAAGAGGTACGAACGTCAGGGTGTAGGCGATCTTCTGTCCGGTGGCATTGAACGCCAGCGTTCCAGGCGATACGATCAGCTCGATTCCGAGGGGCGGGGATCCGATTGCTCGGTACACGGATTTTGGAGCTCCTACATTGGTCACTGTTCTTACCACGCTGGTCTGGTTCTTGAGCTCCGGGATTGTCACTGACGGATAGTTTAACTTTGGTGCTCCAGGCGATTCGGGACACCTTACGGTGCGACCAGAGATCACAGCGATTTGCGTGGCGTTGTATCCACTCGCGCAGAGATGGAGGAGATACTCCTCCACGCTGGTGTCATAGACGAGTCCTGGATTTGCCGCGTCGAGAGGACTTATCTGGCCGGCTCCAAACGCGAATGGAGTTGCGTCGCTTCCATCAAAGTCTTTCAAAGGCTTCTTTTCGTTGTCAACGGATTTCGCTGGAAGAAGAAGAAGATCACACAGTTTAGAACAGCCTTGAGGTATGGAATTTTTTTTTTTGCTGGAAGACGATCACGCACTGAGGTATGAATTTTTTTTCTCTCTTGTGTTTTTTTTTCCCTTTGATTTACCTGTGGTCATTAGTGCTGACTTGATTGCCGCTGGACTCCAGTCAGGATGGATCGACTTGACATATGCCGCAGCTCCAGTAGCGTGAGGGCATGCCATGGACGTTCCAGAAATGATGTTAAAGTCGGAGAACACGGGCTTAGTGGCGTCTAAATCTTCGAGAAAGACTGGTACTGCAGCGGACCATGCTGCTAAAATATTTACACCCGGTGCGGTGATATCGGGCTGCCAAAAGCAAAAACTGTGACCAAAAGAAACCGAGGTGTGAGGTACGTATACATACCTTGAGAATGTCCAGGTTTTCTATGTGAGGTCCTCTTGATGAAAAGCCAGCGACTGTGGGTGCAGGTTCAACATCGAGTACTGTTTTGGTTGGAAAAATCGTGGCTGCTGTCGAGTTGCTGCAAGGCGTTTTTGCAACGTTAGTTTCTCATGGTTCATAAGGATCGTACTAAACAAGCACCTTGAACTCGTGTAGGCAAGCAGATCTTTCAACGCTGCTTTCTTGATGAAAGCTCCTGGCAGAGGGAAGTATCGTACTATATCCGCGATCACATCATTCCCGAGGATCACTCCAGCAGCTCCCCAGTTGTTGAGGCTTTTTAAGAGTATGATTGTCGGGATCACCAAAGGATCAAATTCGCACACAATAATCTTTCCTTTTACTTTTGCCGGATCCAGAACCGTCACAAGACAAAGACTGTGGAGGTAAAATGTCAGTTTACTTTCAAGAAAGAAGACACTACGTAACCTTGCTTGTGTGGAATTTGCAGAACTTAAGCTTGCATCTTTACCCAAGATCAAAGAAGCGGATGTGATGTTCTCGAAGTTGAGAGCTGTGCCCTGTGAAAGACAAAAAGGTTTGATCTTGCTTAAGACAAAAGAGAGTTCTTTCTTACCTGTAGAGTTTTACCGTTGCCGAGTTCGATGTCTACTGAAAAATGTCTGTCTATAGTGCTCGCAGCGACCGTGAGAATCCAAGGTGCACCATTGGACACAGAGGATGCAGCCGGCCCGGAGTTTCCTCCCGCGCATGATACCAAGATTTTCCTTTCTATGGCGTGGAACGAACCGATTGCAATGGGGTCCTCGTCATAAGCTAAAGGAAATCCTCCGAGAGACAACGATAAGATATCTACGCCGTCATCGATGGCATCGTCGAATGCAGCAAGGATGGCGTCGGTGGCACAACCTGCTTCGGAACAAACTCTGTACATTGCGACTCTGGCACCTGGAAATCCTCCTCTCGCTGTTCCGGCTCCCAGTCCAAACTCACTCACTTGAGGAACGAGAGCTCCGCCGATGGTGGAAGTTGTGTGTGTTCCGTGCCCGGCGTCGTCCCTCGCGTTTTTGAACTCGCCATCGGTCAAGTAGTTGCGAGCTCCAATCAACTTCCTGATGAACACGTTATAGATCTTTTTTTGAAAAAGGTGAGCTTGAACGTTTTTTTTTACTTGTTGCAGTTGATGATCACTGATGCATTGGTGACGCCTTTGTTGTCACAGGTTCCTTTCCATCGCGCTGGTACTTCGCTCATCCCAGCATCGGAAAAGCTCTTGGATTCGGGCCAGACACCTGTTGATTTATAGCTCACAAGTAAGCGTTTGAAAAGATATCATGGCCGACTTAAGCTGATTGATTACCTGTGTCTAGAACTCCAACGATAACATCAGCTGCTGCGGGCAGCGTTTTGGATTCATTCTTGGAAGGAACTGTTACGTTCGGCGTTCCAATGAAATCCCACGAGTGCGTTGTCTGGAGTTGCAGCATTCTGTTTGGGAAGACCTTGACAACGCCCGGAGTAGCTGTTTTTGCAACACGTCAAACCAATGAGAGCTTCACTCGAGGTAAATTTGATTCATCACCTGAAAGAGTTTCCGCCTGGTCTTCCGTAAGCCATGCTGAGAATCCTGTGAACGCCTTCTTGTAGGTGAATCCCATAGAAGCTGTGGCTTCATCGTCGCTTCCGACGATTCCTGCAAGCATGCTCGCGAGCGATGAAACAACTGTTGCAGAATCCACATCCTCTCTCTTCCCTCCGGTGTATACAACATATTTCTGGAAAGATTAAAGAAAAAAACGAAAGGTAATAAGTTTCTACTTTCTTACGAGTCATCTTAAACTTGCCTGCTTGTTTCCAGCTCTCAGCTCGCTTCTGGCACCTTGGATCCCGCCATCGCCGGTGTGGAAATAAGCATCACTTTGGTTTGCAACCGCTGCCAGTAGCAAGCACGCGACGAGGATGGCTCCGTGGGAGGAGTCCATGTCTGTGGTGAGTGAATCTGTGAATCTTCGAACTCTTTTTAAAGCGCTTTTGTCCGGCAGGATGACAAAACGGACGATGGAGTTTCCAATGGATGGAGTGTCGCTTAACACTAACGTAGGAATTAAGGTGTTGTAATCCCTCTGGTCTTTAGTTACGTATTATTTGTTGACTTATACACTAGGGACGAGATGGCAGGGAGAAGCACGCACACCGCCTTCAAAAGCTTCCAATACTAGAGGTGAAAGCTACCATTCTCTTGTGTGATTTGTCGCAACTGACCAATCTTATTTTTTTCTCAGTCTCAGGGAAAAGTACGCACGTCGTCAACTGTTGTATACGAGTGGTGAGATATTTTTCCGCAGAATGAAAGTAAAGTAGAAATGATGGCCCGAAAACCATAGCTTTTTACTTCGTTCTCTCAAGAGAAGTTCTAAAAACCAAGGCTTCTTTCTTATAAGCATTTAAGCGGCAGCGACCGAGACATCTCCAAGAGACGATCCAGCTCTGCTGCTGAGGGCTCTCTGAGAGCCTGAGCTCCTCACAGTTGCTTGAGATATGTCTAATTGAGTTGTAATTTGGTTTCTCTTAGGATGTTAGATTCTCCTTCCAACCATCCTTGGTGACTGGCACGTACGAGGAGATGAAACGCTTTGAAAAGATCCAAGGGAAGTGTCATTGAAGAGTGTCAAACCGGATTGAAAAATTGGCCTCTGCAGGCTTCGAACCTGGGACCTTGGCGTTATTAGCCGCTCTGACCAGTCGAGTTTGATGTCTACTGAAAACTGTCTGTCTATAGTGGTCGCAGCGACCGTGAGAATCCAAGGTACACAGACGATGCAGCAAGGCCGGCGTTTCCTCCCGGGAATGATACCAAGATTTTCCTTTCTATGGCGTGGAACGAACCGATAGCAATGGGGTCCTCGTCATAAGCTCAAGGGAATCCTCCGAGAGACACCGATAAGATATCTACGCCGTCATCGATGGCAGGCAAGGATGCCGTCGCTGGGACAACCGAACAAGAAACAAACTCTGTACGCTGCAACTCTGCAAACTCCTCCTCTCGCTGTTCCGGCCCCCAGTCCAAACTCACTCACTTGAGGAACTAGAGTTCCGGCGATGGTGGAAGTTGTGTGTGTCCCGTGCCCAACTTCGTCCCTCGCGTTTATGAAGTTGCAATAGATCATGTAGTTGCGAGCTCCAATCAACTTCCTGCTGGACAAGTTATAGATCTTCTCTAAAAGGTGAGCTCGAAATTTACTTGTTGCAGTGAATGAGCTCTGATGCATTGGTGACGCCTTTGTTGTTACAGGTTCCTTTCCATCGAGCTGGTACCTCGCTCATCCCAGCATCGGAAAAGCTCTTGGATTCAGGCTATATCCTTGTCATATCACTCACGAGTAAGTTCTTGGAGAGATCTCATGGCCGACTTGAGCTGATTTTATACCTGTGTCTACAACTCCAACGATAACATCAGCTGCTGGTAGCGAGTTTTTGGATTCATTCTTGGAAGGAATTGTTACGTTCGGCATTCCAATGAAATCCCACGAGTGCGTCGTCTGGAGTTGCAGCATTCTATTTGGAAAGACCTTGACAACACCCGGTGTACCTGCTTTCACTCTCCAAATTAACGAGATCTTCACTCATCGAGGTAAACTTGATTTATTACTTGAAAGAATCTCGGCCTGGTCTTCCGTAAGCCATGCTGAGAATTCAGTGAGCGCCATCTTGTAGGTGAATCCCATCGCTTCCCAGGATTCGTGCAAGCATGCTAGCGAGTGACGAAACAACTGTGGCAGAATCCACATCCTCTCTCTTCCCTCCGGTGTATGCGATATATTTCTGTCGAAGGAAAACGAAAGGCAAACAAGTTGTTCTCTTCCTTACGAGTGGGATCATCATAAACTTGCCTGCTTGTCTCCAGCTTTGGGCTCGGTTCTGGTACTGTGGAGCTCGCCATCGCCGGTGTGGAAGGAAGCATCACTTTGACTAGCAATTGCTGCCAGTAGCATTAAGCACACGGCAACGATGGAGTCCCTGTTTGTGGTGTGTGAATCTTGTGGGATGGAATCAGTTTCTTTTGAACTGCTCGCCAAGGAATTCCAGAGTATCGGAGAAAATGTAACAAAATTGCTGCGTTCCTTCGTATGCGACATTTTACATGTTTAGTACTGTTTCTAATCTAGTGTTCATAAAGTTTCCAAAAGTATAATTTGCTGGCTGTGACACCCCCCTTAGACCACTCGGGCAAACCAGCTTATCGCCTTAGGATAATTACATTAAAGGGTTGGAGCATTCGCCTTAGCATAATTACATTTCGGGATAGCATTCCGGCTGCAACGCATTCCAAATCCACATCAATTCGCTTACAACGTGTTTGTTGTTGATGATGTGACCTCCCACCAAGTCCGCAAAGTGAACAGTATAGAAGTCTATAACTTTAAAGCCCACCTCTACTATCCATAGCTGCGCACTCTTTCTTGAGCATTCTTTCCCTTCTTATCTGTTCTAGGATGGCAGCCACCGTCACAATTGTTGGCAATGCTTATGTGTACCCAAGAGAGGGGTCCAATAGTTTCGGTTCTATTTCTGAAGCCGGGCTTGGAGCATGGACAGATGTCACTGGATCTACCCGTGTCTACTTCTGGCCACAGAAAACTGGGTCGATTTCTGTTTCAATCAAGGCAAGATCTGTTGACAATACTAACACTTTGCGTTTAAGTCTCGATGGTAGTGCCAGTGCTGCACACGACGTAGTCCTGCCCAAGTCCTCTAATTTCCAAACTTATACAGTAGGAACATACACCATTTCGAGCTCAAGGTATCACTATCTGGAGATACGTGCAGTCACCAAAAACTCAATCTACCTTCCTGATGTGCAAGCACTGGTCATCTCTGGTTCTGCTGCCGAAGGCCTCAAGTATAACAAGAGCTCCTTCCGCGGTGCACCCTCAACGCATCTTTCGTACAAAACAGAGGGTATCGAGGGGGGTATCACTTGGTTCTACACTGAAATCTATGTCAAGCAAGGCGAAGATCCCCTTTACTCCTACTACATGACGAATGGTTTTGGAGATGGCTACTTTGGTATTCAGGTAAGTTCCAGTGTAATTGCATTATCCACTTCCTAATATTCTTATCATCTATAGGTGAACTCACCGACTGAAAGGAGAGTATTATTTTCAATATGGAGCAACTATGATACTCAGAAACCAGAGGAGATCCCCGAAGACTACAAAGTGAAGCTGGTGAAAAAAGGAAGTGATGTGATTTCAGGAGAATTTGGTAACGAAGGGTCGGGTGCACAGAGCTACTTCAAATACATGTGGAAAACTGACACCGTTTACAGATGCCTTGTCAAGGCTGAAGCTTCTGGTAGCGACAACACCATATTTTCAGGTTACTTCCATATGCCGGAGTCGGGCTGGAAGCTGATAGCTCGATGGAACAAACCAAAGACTGGAGCTCTCTTGTTGACAGGGCTTTATTCCTTTGTGGAGAACTTTTCAAGCAATGGAAACGACTACTTCAAGGCTCACTTTGGCAACCAGTGGGCTTATGGTAAGGATGGATGGGTGCAGCTGACCAAGGCCGGATTCACCACGACCGCCAGTGAAGAGAAGCATCAGCGATATGATTATGGCGCTGGGGCAGAAGGCGTTTGGATGTATATGTATAGTGGTGGATTTAAGCAGACGAACAATGTGAAGGCTGGAGATATCATACAAAGGAGCGGTGGTCCTAGTCCTGATGTGGACTTGAAAAAATTGGATGCTCTCTAAAAACTAAAACACCACCGCAGTTAAATAAAAAGAAAATAACAACAGTTTATTGTATTACATGCACGATCTAAGCATCCACTTTGCCAACGATGACACATCAAGGTTTGGCGCTTACATCGCGTGCTCAAGTGCTCGTTGAGAATGGTTCGCTCTTTCATGGAGTTCTATTTTTCTCTTCTTTTTTTGAGCTTGCACTTCGCTTGACAACGATTCTAGGTGGAAAAAAATCCCTCTCTAGTTTACCTCTTTACCTCGTGAGCTTCACGTTGCCACACGGATTGAAAAAGATAGCTGGTCTTGGAGATGATTGTTGTCTTTCCATCGAGCTGGTACTTCGCTCATTCCAGCTGAATTAAAATGACTATAGATGCCTTAGGAAAAAAAACGTAACCAAGCTTGTTTCCAGCTTTGATCTCGGCTGTGGTACCTTGGAGCTTGCCATCACCGATGTGGAAGTAAGTGCGACAAATGGCCAGAGACCAATAAGCATACGATGCGAAGCCTACGCGCATTATGCTTTATCAATAAAAAATTGAAGTTTTAGCTTTATAATTTATAAATTAAAAACTTTTCATATGATTTTGTGTTATAATATTGTGAAATATAAAAAATAAATTAAAAAACTGATAGAAATATTAATAAATATTAATTAAGTACTAGGAAATGGCATGTGGACACATGCTAATTAATGTCCCACTTTACTGAATAAGTTCCACTTTAACGAAATAAAGCATCATTTAGCTTATTGCATTAATATAATTACATTAAGGACTTTTTAAAACCGAGGCTCCGCTAGCCATGTTATTTGTAAAGGTACAGTCCAAACAAAAAGCTTTTGAGCAATTATTTTACAGTGCTGGCATGTACGTTTTAGAGAGCATCCAATATTGGGAAGTCCACGTCAGGATCAGGACCAACGCTCCTTTCTATGACATCTCCAACCTTCACATTGTTGGTCTGCCTCAGATGGACATCTCTTGAAGAACCAGAGATGATCAGCGCTTGCACCTCAGGAAGGTAGGTTGAGTTTTGGGTGACTGCACGTATTTCCAGATAGTGATACTCTGGTATAAGTTCCCACTGTATAAGTTTTGACTTGGGCAAAACTACGTCGTGTGCAGCATTGGGACTACCATCGAGGCTTAAGCGCAAGGTGTTAGTGTTGTCAACTGATCTTGCCTGGATTGAAACAGAGATCCATCCAGTTTTCTGTGGAAAAAAGAAGACACGGGTTGATCCAGTGGCATCGGTCCATCCTTCAAGGCCATCATTAGAAATAGAACCGAAACTGTCGTTTGGGTACACGTAACCATTGCCAACAAGAGTGACGGTGGCTGCCATTAGAAGTGGATAGATAAAGAAGGGGAAGAGGGCTCAACTAGAAGTGGGCAATGGACTTTGAGGAACAATCCGAGACACACACACACAAAAGATTGCACAGCAATTTATAGACTTCAGAAGCACCTAAAAAGAACTAAGAAGGTGCGATTAGGCTATGGTTCAACATCGCTTGAGAAATATTGCATTTATAAGTGTGGGGTTGAGGGCTCCTTTCAGTATGGACACGTTATTTTGGCTTGAGAAGCAGATCATGGAGATGGAGATGGAGAAGCGGGATATCATGGAGATGGAGCCCTGCACCAAACTTTTTTCCTTGGTAAATTATGTTTGCCTTTTTAGTAAACCAAACATTTCTTTTTTCTGAGATGGATCCGAAATGGAGTCCGAGATGGACCCGAAATGGAGTCCGAGATGGAGTCCGAGATGGATCCGAGATGGAGTCTGAGATGGACCCGAGATGGACCCGAAATGGAGTCTGAGATGGAGTGGCATAACGGCCTGGTATGGGTATCTCTACCCCCCCCCCCCCCCTCCCCACTTCTATCCCGAAGGGAAGGCCCAAGCCCCTACGAAGGGCAAAGACTAATGAGCCATGAGGTACTCAACTGGGGCACCACTCCACATGACCCGGGAGCACTACAGTCGGTTTCCCTTTCAGGAGTGGGAGCTGCTTTTGAGCACTTCCTTGGGTGGCCCCTCTGGCACCACCCAAGTCCATACTCACTCCCACCCAAGGCCCCTCGGCCCCAATGTCAACCTCAAGTCAGTTTGGAAGCACCACTAGAGAGTTCCTTCAAGACTGTATAAAAAGAGAAAATAATATGTTATACATTGTTTGGTTTTGTGTTATTCAATCCAATTGATCAAATGGAAATTTATAATTATAAAAATTTGTATACAAAATTAATCTTAATGCATAGTAGAATAAGCTAGAATATATTAAGAAGTTTAAGAAAATCTATAAATTATAAATATGTTTAGAAATTTCTAAAATATTTAAACATACTCTAAATAGGTTTGCTTACGCAAACCAAAATTGAATTATTTTTACTATGAACATTAAAGAGTTTATTGCATGGGTTTAGGGCTTTGTGCAATGGAGGAGGCGGGCAAAGGCGCACGAAGAGGCGGAGGAGGCGAGATGCTTGTAAGTGGCCAGGAGCGCAATGCAAGAGATTGCGCTATCGCTGGATGTGATCTTTGATGTGATTGGAAATTCCAGGGCCTCGTGCTTTCACGCCGCTTAAATGTGGAGCATTTAACGATTTCGAGCGCTCTGCTCGCGGATGTAAGTTCTTGATTTCGTGATCTATACACTCCATACGATTTCTTCTTCGTGTTTGTAGTTCTTCCTTCCTGCGGATTCTCGTTCGGGTGGTGCAAAATGCAGGTGCAATCTTCGACTGGGAAATCGATCGAAGCATCCACTTCTGCCGCCGATGAATCGTCGAGGTTTGAGACGCTTTCATCATGCGTGCTCAAGTGGTCGCTGGACAACGTCGAGAATGGCTCGCTCATTCAGGTGAGTTGTTTTTTTTTTTTCTCTTCTTTCTTTGAGCTTGCACTTTGCTTGACAAGGAAGATGGTGTTCCAGGTGGGAAAAATTCCTCTCGAGTTTACCTCTTTGAGGCAGTATCTCGCGAGCTTCAGGTTGCCGCTACTCGAGGAAGTGCGAGAAGGATTAAGCCGCGGCCTCTCACGGATTAAAAAAGATGGCTGGGCTATGGTACGAGTGGAGATGGAAGACACAGACGAAGCGCTTCGACGGGTCTGGCTCAAGGTGGACGGTAAAGACAACTCCTCTTTCAAGCCAATGGATGTTGTCCTACTCGCGACAAGCCCAACTTCCTCCGCGAAGGACGTGCAAGCTTCGGGAAAGATGCACGCGCTGGTTCTACTGACCGGCTTTGATGTTCCAACGGGCTTTTGGGAGGCCGAGATGTACTCCACATCCCAGATGGAGAACGCTCTGACTGATCCGGAGAGAAGCTGGTACGTCATTGGCTTGGAGTCGCTGGTATCAGCTTCGAGGATTTGGAATGCGTTGCAGCGGCCGCTGTTTGCCGATGAAAATCGGTTCCCGATTTTCGACGAGGTGCTGCAACAGGTACCTAGAGAATTTTTCTGTCACTGAAGTTACGTATTTTTCGCTAACTTCATGTTTTCGTTTATAGGCACTTTGGGTGGATGATGCTGACAAAGGATTTCTTTCTGGAACAAGATGCTCGCATCTGAACGATTCTCAATCAAGGGCCGTGTCCAGCACCGTCTTGGCGCTTGAGAAAAATCAAAAGCCGTACGTGAGGCTGATACAGGGACCTCCGGGTACAGGGAAAACGTCGGTGCTAGCCGCACTTCTTTCTGCGCTACGGAGCTCTGGAAGGCGTGTATTGGTTTGCGCTCCTACAAACATGGCCGTTCAGGAACTAGTCACTCGGTTTCTGAAGACAAACGACTCCGGCTCCAATAATATTCTGCTCATGGGAAATGAGACAAGGCTGACTGGTGTTAGAGACAAGCCGCTGTCGGAAGTGTTTCTTCCATATCGCTTGAACAGGATATCGTCGACCTTAAGCCGCTGGAAATCAGAAGCGTCTTCCATGGTCGACTTTCTGAATATGGAGGCCTCTCAAAACTTCTCGGACGTCGTACGAAGAAAGTTCGCCAGTCTTGAACAGCAGATGGTGCAGGCTCTTTCGGACCTGCCGACCACACTCGTTCAGTCGGCTGAAATCGTCGAAGTGAAAAGCCTCCTCACCAAGATAAGCGATCTTATTGATGCTATTGCTTGCTTTGGTGTCAACAGGAGCATCAAGAACAACCTTGACAAACTAGCTGTCCTCCTTCAGAGCCTTCAAGTGAGTGCTGACCGCATGACGAGCTTCATCAGAAGGCAGCTCGTCAGGCATTCGACCATGGTGTTTTGCACGCTGTCTTGCGCTGCTATGCCGTTGGTGCAAAATTCGGCGGTGCCTTTTGACGTAGCTGTTCTTGACGAGGCTTCTCAAGCTATCGAAGCGGAAACAGCTATCATTATGGGCCTTTCTTGTCTAAAGCAACTCGTCCTTGTTGGAGACCACCGGCAGTTACCACCCACTGTTCTTAGCGAGGTACTTTTAACCGTGCAAACTTCGTACTGATTCGATGCCTGTATGTGTTTACAGAAGTCTAAAATGTCCGGTTATGGAAGGAGCTTGTTCCAGAGGCTCCATGCGCTGGACCACCCGAATATTATGCTTAATGTTCAGTACCGCATGCACCCATCTATTTGCCAGTTCTCAAACTATGAATTCTACAAGCGAAAAATCCAAGATGGCCCGAATGTAACAGTGAGTTCTTACGGCGCAGCGTTCCGCTCGCTCTTATACGGCCCATATATATTTATCCATGCGAACAGTTCGGAATGCACTGCCAAAGAGGGGAGCTTGGAAAATCCCACGGAAATTGAAGTCATCATGTTTCTATTGGAGAAACTCCAAAAAGGTACACAAAGAAGCTGGCTGAAAATTCTAAGATGTGATTTTCCAGAGAAACTAAACTGCAGCAACCTTGAGGTGGGAGTTATCTCCTTTTACAAGGCACAAGTTACTGCACTAAGCAGTCGCATACGACATGCTTCGTTTTCTTTCAAGGTCGAGGCCAATACTGTCGACGGATTTCAAGGTCGTGAAATGGACGTAGTTATTTTGTCGACTGTCAGATCGAACCCTTCCGGAGATTTGGGCTTTCTGAAAGATCATCGACGTCTGAATGTTTCAATAACTCGAGCCAGGTGGTTGCCATAATGTTTGAGCCTCTACTTACTTTTTCCCATGCAGATACTGTCTTTGCATTGTTGGTAACGAGCATACCTTGGCTAAGAACGAGACCATTTGGAGGGATTTAGTTCAGAATGCAAAAAGCAGAGATTGCTTTGTGGACTCGGCCGACGTTCCAGAGCTGGAGAAGCGTGTTGGAGGCAAAGTGGACCAGTTTTATGATATCCTGATTAACAGTTCTCTTCTCGAAAACTGTATCTGGAAGGTGAGTGTCCTCATCGGTTTTCTTGCCTACCTGAGCATGTTTTTCTCTTTGCAGGTCTTCTTCAGCAAGGAGTTCAAGACCAGTTACGCTCGTCAATCGGCGTCCTTCAGAAATGGCTGCACGAGATTTGTCCTGGGACTTGCTAGAGGTCACTGGCCTGAGTTGAACTCTGCGATGCCGCTGACACTCTCAGAGGATATTCACGTGTTTCGCATGAACGGTTTGCTTCTAGTCTGGAGAGTGGTTTTGACGAGCAATAGAAGGTCTCAGGTCATCGAGCTATGTGATGTGGTGGGCGTTCAAGGACTACAGCGAATTGTCCAACGATTGAATACTGTCAGCTCGACTTACTCATTGGATTACGTGGAACGCTGTCGAACTATGACGACAAAGACGTCCGTTTGCGGTAGAATCGCTGTTCCGGAAGTATGGAGTGGAGATGTTGTCCAGAAAGTCATCGACGACGGCAATGCAGCGCCTCCAATTAGTCAGCCTGGTCCCAAAGTTTCAGAGAATCTATCTCAACTGAAGTTCTATTCAGAGTCATCTGGAATTGCGAACTACGTTCTGACAGACAGTGGCGGTACAGAAGTCGAGCTGCCGTTCCCTCTAAGTCGTCCACAGACCGAGCTGATATTGTCTTCTTCGTCGGCTTTTGTTATCGGAAGGTCGGGCACAGGCAAAACCACGGTTATCAGTGTTAAGATGATGCGCATGGAGCAGCTCCATCGCATATCAAGGTGTGGTTTTGGTGATAACGGGAGTTTTGATAGCGCCGAGGGGACGTGCTTGCGTCAAGCGTTCATTACCGTTAGCCAGAGGCTGTGTTTCGCGGTCAAGAACTACCTCGAAAAGTTTAAAAGGTATGCGACGAACTCCTGTTACTCATCAGCGTCACCAGTTTTTCTTACACTTCAGGTCTTTACTACGAAGTGATGCTTATACTGCTGTTCTTGGGGTCACCTGCAACGAAGATGTCATGCTTGACGAAGAGTTTCAAGGCGGCATTCCAGACAGTTTCATCAACATCCAACCTGAGGCCTTTCCTCTCGTCTTGACCCTCAGAAAGCTTTTGGATATGGTTAATGGAACTGTGTCGAGGCCTTTCCGAAGCAGAACACTTGAAGACCGGGAAGTGGACTTCGACGTCTTTGTGTTGGTTTACTGGCCGCGTATGAAGGCCTCTTTGAGGAAGACGTACGATGCATCAGATGTCTACGCGGCTATCGTGTCTCACATCAAGGGAAGCGCTGAGTCCCTTCACTGTCCGGACGGAAGGCTTTCTCGCGAGGCTTTCGTCAACTTGGCATCACAGCGTATTTCGGTGTTCGATGAGGGGCAACGGGACACGATCTACGACCTCTATCTCCACTACGAGAAACTCAAGAAAGAAAACGACGACTATGACATGGCAGACTATGTTTGGCATTTGTACCGGCAGCTCAGGGTGGACGGGTTCAAGGGAGACAAGCTTGATCTTGTCTATATTGACGAGGTGCAAGATTTTACGCTGGCTCAGGTATGCCTGCTCAAGTTCGTATGCACGAATTATCGGGAAGGCTTCATTTTTGCTGGAGATACGGCTCAGACCATCACTAGAGGTGTGGAATTCCGGTTTGAAGATGTACGTCGGGTTTTCTATACAGAGTTTCTGGAAGCCGAGGCGAGGTGTCCGGATATCGTGCAGCTGATAGACAATTTCAGGACAACGGGCGCCATTGTCCAGGTTGCAAATAGTGTTATGGAGCTGATACTTCGGTTCTTCCCTCTCAGGGTCGACAGGCTCGAGCCGGAAAGTAGTTCTGTGCTCGGCGAAGTTCCAGTTGTTTTGAATCTCCCGGACGATAGCACATCTATCAACTTTTTGTTTCAGAGTCATGGATCCAGCTCCGGTTACGAGTTTGGCTCGGATCAAGCCGTACTAGTCCGGAACAAGTCCCAGAAGCAGCAGCTGCTAAAGGAACTCGGCACAAGATGCCTCGTCCTTACGGTGGAGGACAGTAAAGGATTAGAGTTTGAGGTAGGCTTTATTTTCTTCTAACATGCTCTAAGCTACTCTTACACAGGATGTATTGATCTTTAACTTCTTCACTGACTCGGCAAGCCCTGAAGCGTGGAAAGCACTTTCTTCTGTTTTTGGTAGAAGCCGTCCAGCTAATTGTTTACCTCAGCTTCCCAGGATTTTGTGCAATGAACTCAAGGAGCTATATGTTGCCATCACGAGAACTAAACGGAGGCTGTGGATCATCGACGAGAACCTGGAATATCAGCGGCCAATGCTTGATTACTGGAAGAATCTGAACGTTGTCAAGAGAGGTGCGTTGGATGCGTCACTGATATCCTCGATTCACCAGATAAGCTCCCCCGAGCAGTGGCACCAACGTGGTGTTGAGGTAAATATCTGTGTAGTGGATTCACTCTTTAAACAACATGTATTGGCTGGTCTGTGTAGATGTTTAATGCTCGCCGGTTTGACATGGCAAAGCTTTCCTTCAAACGAGCAGGCGATAGATACCGAGCAAAACTATCTGAAGCTGCGGAATTTCAAGAGAGGGGAGAAAAATTCCTTAGAGTCGACGAGAGTGCTGCAAAAAGGGACCTACAACGTGCGGCCGCACTGTACGAGTCCCTGGAAAAGAAGGACGCTGTAGCAAAGTGTTTCAGATTGATGAAAGACTTCCAAAGGGCAGGTACTGTGATGAATAAATCTTCTCTCTCTCTCTCGTACTTATACTGATTTGTTGTGTAGGTTTTTTGTACAAGCAATGCTCAAAGCTAGAACTCTCGGGAGACTGCTACATGGCCGCAAATCTCCACAGCGAAGCTTCACAAGTATATGCGGAGGGGAACCATTACGAGAAATGCCTTGAAGCTTGTACCAAGGGAAGACTGTACAAAGAAGGCCTCGACTTCATTCGCAAATGGACAGTACCAAGCGTGCCTGCCAACACGTTGGAGAAGTTTCGGAAGAACGCTGCCGAGTACTTTCATCGCAAACTAGACGCTCACTCGATGATGGAGGCGGTGCAAGCCTCTTCGGATGCGGACTGGAAGATTGCGTTCTTGGAAAGAAGGGAGTACCTTGACGAGCTTATCGAGCTTGCATGCAGCCTTGGCAACTTCGAGAAAGCTGCAGAAGTGGCTGCGAGGAAGGGAAACGTGCTCCGAGCATCGGAGCTACTCGAAAATGCCGGCAAGCGTTCCGAAGCGGCTCGGAAAATCCTCGAGCACATCAGGCTCCAGTCCTTGTGGGGAGGACAAAACTGTGGCTGGCCTCTGAAGAGTTTCCAAGACCGTGAGACTCTCGACAAGGCGGCACGTCTAGCTGCTGACAACCCCGTGTTCTCGCACGAGCTCAAAGTGCTCCGGACGACCACAGGCACTGCCACAGTGAGAGAGCTCCTGGAAAACTGGAAGGTGGCGAAGAACTCCAACGTCGAAGTCATTGCCTTGCGGCAGCTATTGGGAGGGGCGTCCGAGGCCTTGAAAGCAGCAGCCTACTCGTTTGAGCTCGATTCCGAGCGCTCTGGCTTGACGCTCGTCCAGGACAACGTCGAGAACTTGCTACAACTCGTGCTCTCGGCTTGGAACACCTGGTTTCAATGGATCCACTCCGTGGTGCAGTCTCTCGATGGAGTTCAGGATATGTTACCACGGGGAACTGCGGTTTCAGCGGCTTTGAACTACCTGGGAATCAGCCGAGACATGAATCCCAAGCTCTGCATTGTGGAGTATGTTGGAGCTTTCTGGCTCCAAAACGAAACAGTCAGGCCGCTTTACAGTGGAGGCAGCAGGGGCCAACACAGGACCGAGCGAGTAGCATCACTCGCGAAGAAGTTTTTGGAAGAGCAGCTACTAGAGTCGGGGCTGGACTGCATCCGGAGTTTGCACAAGTGCAGCGAGATTTCTTCAACACAATCGAGAGTAACGCTCGTTATCCTCGGCTTGCTCGAGAGTCTTGCCACTGTCCTGGATAGCCATCAGGAGAAGCTCCAACTAAAGCTCCAGGGATACAGAAGGCTTCTCTACAATGTAGCGTTTCTCGGGGACGCGCAGAGTTTTCTCGACGTATCATCCATTTGCCACGAGCGTTTCTTCACTGCGCACTTGGACCGCGTTGCAGGCGAGCAGAGCTTGGATTTTCTCGACAACTCCAGCGAGGTGCGGGGAACTCTGCGCGTTCTCTTACCGTTTCTGAGCGCTCCAAAGCTCGAGACGTTGAAGCGACACCTTCCAGAAGACATGGCTGGCTTGGCAACGTCCTACTCGCGCAGCAACCATCGGTGTACTCCTTTCGAGTTCCTGGATTCCGTAGTGAGGCCGTCAGTTGGATTTATCGGCGATATCATCACTAAGGACGTCATTCCAACAGACTTCATCAGGCCGCAATTCTATCTGCTGGAGAGAGCCACGGTGCTGAGCTTGGCTTGCTTCACGGGCCTGGAGCAGATGGTCCTTCCGGAGAGCCTGGCTTTCAAGTTTATGACTGGAAGGCCGCAGGAACAGGTGCTCTCCAAAGTTCTCGAGCTGATCAAGCCCCCTGGAGAGGCCTCTGCTTGCGCCTGCCTCAATGCCATCGGCAGGATTTGCATCTCGTTGCTTCTAGGAAGGCCAGACTTTTTCGTGGAGTGGCTGCGCAGGAGCAGCAAGCTCGTTCTTGAGCTGGTGAAAGTGCTCCTCACACTCATGCTGGCGGGTATCAGAGGTAAACTTTTGGAGTGCTTACGTTCTCCCGTTCTGGACGTGCTGCCTTGGGAGATCAAGCAGAAGTTACAGGAAACGGTTTCTACGTCCAAAGTTCTGGAAAAAGACCTGTTGGAGCTCATGGCGATAACAGGTGATCCTTTCCTCGTCTTGATGCGTCGAAGCGGTGGTCACGATAATGTACTGCGACGTGTTGGCATCGAGCCTTCTCCCGGAGTTTTCAGCTCGAAAGGTTTGCAAGCCACGAGCTGTGAGCGGACCGGGAACTGGTCGAAAAAAGACGAGGCACTGGTTGAGTTGCGAGCAAGTATGAAAGGAAAGAAGAAGGAAAACGAGTACCTCCGCGAAGCGAACTCAGTGTTTAGCTCACTCGGTTTGAAAGACGACAGCTTTTACGTTCGAGACTTCCTCACCACGGCGTGCCCGCTCAAGGCATGAGTTTTATATCCTTTTTCTTTTCGATTCTTTTGAGAACTCTTTCTTTCCTGCAGGCCTCCGCGGACGATTTTCTACTCGACTTGAGCTCCGCGATAGAAATAATGAAAACGGGACTCGGTATCAGGCCAAAGCAAGAAAAAGCCCGGTGTTTGCTTCAAAACATGATCCTGTACCACGGCAAGCTCGAGTGCATGACAACGCTTCTAAATCCCAGGGACGCCAGACACGAGCTCCTCGACTTGGCTGCTCTGCAAAAATCAGTCCAAGCACTGCGAGAGAAGCTCGAGAAAGGGAAGAAACTTCTGGGCGACCACGTCAAAAGGCTGCTAAGCAATCGCTGGGACTTGCGAGAGTGGCAATAAGCTTGATCTCATGTAGATAGTACCATAGAGCGAACTACGTAAAATAGAGAAAACGTTAATAGCAAACAACTATAAGCAACAGATACTTGAAAAAAATATTAACTTAGCCACAGTTAAAATCACAACTTTTTACCTTTCGTTCTATTGATAATTACAGCACGATTCATTCCCAAGTTGTGTGTTTTACTCCTTAGATGAATAATTCTCGTAAATATCTGATACACTCTGTTTTGGTCCCACTAGGATTTCGTAGCTGCCATATAAACATAGCTTCTTTCTGTAAAACAACCATTAGATAATATCTTGTGAATGGAAGGTTCAAAGTATTACCAGCTCACCCACTCTCGGACCACTCACAATGTGAAATTCGAGTTTGAGATCGTTCCCCGTGAGCAAAGGTTTTAAATTTAACAATCCTGAAAAAAGTATTGAATGTTGAAAACGAAAAAAACTACTACTTCTTACCAGATAAGCTGATGCTTTTAAGAATAGCGTTAAACACGTCTTTCTTCTGGACACTAGGGGCTGGCACGGAGAGAAATAAAGCAGCAGCTGACAAGCTGAAGTCCCTGTCTCTGAAGGCTAGGCCGGCCTCTACTCGAAAACTTTCGTTGAAAAGACAAGGTAATCCTCCAAAAAGTGTACGTTTGTTCAACTCATACCAATCTTGCACGAAGGTATTTCCAATTGCTTTGTACAATGCGTTCACCTGGTACACGAGACAGTTCAAGAGAGGAAGGAAATGTATAGAACGTGTACCTTTTTAAGCATTGCTTTTAATCCTATTCTCTCGGCCATCGAACCCAAAACTGTATCGTTTTCTTTCTTGAATGGATAGAGAATCCCAGCAACAAGAACAAGACGCCTTTCACCTTCCTGCGTTGAGTAAGTTAAAGAGTCAAAACCAAAGTGTTCAGTGTAAGTACATCAGCAATGTTGACAGACTCTAGAGTCTCGCAAACGACTTGAAAGTCCTTCACACTAGCAAAGATTTAAATGAGTTACTGAACTGACTACCTTTGCGCACTCACTGGCCTCGTAAAAATCAGAGGCCAATAACCAAGCTTGTGCAGCAGGCACATCGCCCGAGCAGGATTCTTTCCGAAGAGCATGGCTTGAATCTGAAAAACGAATTTAAGAGGCACACGAAAAATAAAAACCAAGAGATCGTTATTCCACCTCCTGAGAAATGCGCTCCCTGGTGATCTTTGTTTCGAATGCAGCCTTCACAGAATCAGCAGATGCCATGCACTCCAGTTCCTCGTCCAGCTCAAAATTAAAGCGCGCCGCTGATCAGGAAAAAGAAAGGTAATTAGCTTCTAGATAGAATTCTAAGGTGAAGAAGTAGTCACAGACCAAACCGAATGGATCTCAGGACACGCAATGGATCATCTAAAAAAGTTACGAGCGGAGGCAACGGAGTCCTGATCTTTCCAAGCTTGAGGTCCATTACACCTGGACAACAAAGTTGTGGAAAGAATCGAAAGATGAAATATACACAAACCTCGACCCGTGAAGTCCTCAACCTTGTCAGCGGCAACGTTGTAGAAGAGGCTGTTGATCGTGAGATCTCTCCGGTAAGCGTCTTCGGAAGGTGTTCCAAATTTCTAGCAAGAAGGAAAAGAGCGTAAGAACAAGAGGAAGTCGAGTGAAAATCAAAAGGGCCATAGTACCATTGATGTTGGGATCCTGGAATCGTTGGAGTACGTCTCGGATCGGAGATTAACAACATCAAGCTCTCCACCCAGGATCTCCAGCTTGGTCGTTTCTAAATGCTTGGATCGTTCTGGATTGCTACAACATGTAAATTCCAGTTGTTAGAAAAATAGCAAGCTCTAGACAACACAAACCTTTTGATAACTTTGTAAGAACATGAAGGATCGGTCTTCCTCAAGCACCGGAGCACACGATCACAGAACTGCTGCCCAGTCATATCATCCAGCGCAATATCCAAATCGTGGCTCTCGACGCCAAGGAGCTGCGCAAATTGAATTGAGCTAGAACGATTGATCGAAAACACCAGACCTTATCGCGCACCCATCCGCCCGCCACTCTCACGTCGGTCTTCAAGTCGCATTCACGGATCGCCAGACGGAGAGCGTCGAGAATCTTCGCTTCCTCGCGCGTGTCGTCATGAGCTCTAGAACGCTAAAGGAAGATCCTTTGAGAATTAAAACTCCCGCCAAAACTCTAGGGTTTATTGGAGAAACTGTTCTCGTCACGCGGAGCATTGTCTACGTCATGGTGAGATGCGTCATATGCAGGGCGATTTGATGCGTGACCCATCGCTGCGCGCGTTCAGATATTTGGGCGGAAGATCAAAGCGTTCTCCATTTTCCATCAGATTCTTGCCGACGATCTCACTCGGCAACAGCATGAGCTCTGTCCTGCCTCATTCGAAAACTTGCTCAAGCTTATTGGAAATGGTGAGCTATGTTTTTTTCTTTGGCGAAGTTTCTATGATGGATGGATTGCATGAACAGATGTTACGAATGACGCTATTGCCGAAGTTCCTCTTGCACGCTTGCTCTGTGGTTTCATCACGGCCTTACATCAGTGGTTTCGACGTGCTCGCTGACTTTTGCGAGAGGCTTTCAGCGTGCGGTTTTTGCAGCAAGGTACTTATCAAAGGGCTTTGTTTTCATTACACAAATCTCGGATTTTGCAGCCGCTTTGGAAAGCATACAACCTCGCTCTCATGGTAATCTAGATCTGGTATGAGCCGTTTTGACACCCTTGTTGCACGCGGAAAAGCTGGCGAAGTTACAGAGGCTGAACAACCAGATGCAGCTCAGTGAAACAGGTGATAGATCTTGTTGCATATTTCGGGACTGACTATTGCTCAGTAACGGCGAAAGCAACAACCTTTCCAGGCATGCCAACCGAGTGTCAATGTGGTTTGGCCTTGCAAGGTAACAAAACGGTGCTTCCTTTTGTAAACTAGGTGTTCTTTTTCTGGCAGTGGACGTGGATTCCCATAGGCTGGACAAGTCGATGAGATGCTTAGATGTTTTGGTCCTGGCCAAGCACTTAATCGATATTTACTTACTCTCAAGCTCTCCTGGTGCTTGGGATACCTCGAGAGGGGTCTCCATCTCATGCAAGAGGCTTTTCAACGATGTGAGATCCAGAGCTTAGCCACCGTGAGCAACGGACTTCCGTGAGTTGAGGATTTTACGTTTTATAACATTCTAATATGCTTTTCTTTCTTGTAGAGCATTCTCGAGGTTCTGGAGCTGGAAGGGACGAGCGTCCGTGTGAGTTGGGCATCTCGATAGAGAGTTTAATTCCGAAGGTAAGGTATCTGCAGGGAGCGTGAGTGACAAATATTTACAACCTCGTCAATAGGTGCTGAAAACACTCTCGTTCAGCGACGTGATAAGTCTCTTCCGATGGCTTCTTCCCCTCAAAGGAAACGTCTGGGCAGGTATGTAAAGAAGTCTTACGAGTCTTCTTCGTGTTTACGAGTGTCCCTTGCTCGCAGCTTCGCCTTCTCCTGATGCTGCTCCGGACGCTTATCCGAGACAAATGGCCCAGCGCGAGCGGTGACTGGAGCTCCGCTCTCTTTTGGAATGGCTTTTAACGTCTCGAGCGATACACTTCTATCCAACTGACGGTGACAAAGCGACCAAGGCCATATGCGCATCAAAAGCTTCCGCGACCAGACGATTGTTGTTTCACTAACTTCGTTGTCCGGGTAGAAATCGCCGTGAATGTGTACCTCGGGGTGGTTTGGATGGAAGGCAAGGGCAAGACTAATTACACAGGTCTGCTTGCGCGTCCTGACAGGGAAGTGGAGGCTTAAGCCTCTTCGTGAGCAGGGCAAAACCGTTCGTCTCAGCGAGCCACTGTGGAAGCATGAGGTTGATATGGCGCGCTCTTCGTGTCAATCAGGAACCGGAGGAATGGCATGCTTCTGCCTTGAGAGAAACTCTCTTGGGTTTTGAATACAATGGAATATACGAGAATAGTTTAAGTGAGAATATACCTCCTGCACGACTACTATTTAAGTTTCTGTAGTTTTATACTAGGGCAAGCATGGAAGAACCTCCAAAGGTTGTATTGACAGAGATTGAGGAGTTTTGCTCGGGTCTACAGCCGAATCACGAAGGTAAGTATGTGATTTGATTCCAATTTTCACTGTTCTTATATTTGACATCTACCAGCTACTACTAGAGATGAAGAAGCCTACAGCAGGATGGATTTCAAATCTTTGCTGCCAACAAAAGAGGATCACGTAGGGAAAGGACTGGCTGGCGTTCTTCAATGTTTTCGAGAGAATGGGAGCTTGAAGGAATCTAGAGGCGAATGGATTGGAAGAAGCAGAGACAAAAGGACACCAGAAAATGGTAAATTCGAATTCAACTTGGACCACCGCGATGAGCATGGCCGAACTGTAAGTTTATGTTCTATTTACTTTCTGATTTTACTTTATGTTTGATGCAGCTGACCCCCAAGGAAGCCTTCCGGCAGTTCTCGCATAAGTTCCACCATGTAAAACCGGGGAAAAGGAAGCAAGAGAAGAAGCTAAAGAAGCAAGAACAGGAGCTAAAGAAGAGGAAGAAAGAAGAACACCCTCTGGAGTTTATGGAGAGATTGAGAGGCATTCAAATCAAGTCAGGAACAGCTTACATTAGAACTTGACAAGGAGTTAACTTGTCAGCTGAATGAGTTTTAATAACGTTGTATGAAAGCCCTTAGTGAACTTCTATTTGCACCAAGGGCTTTCATACACGCGGCAGCGCTCATTGCAATGGTGTATGGTAAAGGCGGTCTTTGATTCCACCGCGATCCTTCTTCGCAAGCTTGTGATGACTTGAACGGGCATTTGGAGGAGGCCAAAAGACACGCTCCAAGGTCATCTGGAAGATGCAAAACGCATCTTTGACTGTACATCTAGTTTCAAGGACACAATCATGGCGTATGGAAGAGACATAAGGCGAAATAAACATCTGAGGAGATCTCTTCGAACAGCATTTTATTCAAGCACTTGCCGGAAACTCCAGAAGAGACTTTGAAAGAAGGCTTAGGGGCGGTTCAAAGAAGAATTCGTCGAGATAGCCCAACTCGGTGCCCCATCTTTTTCCTGTGGGGCGAGATCTTTCAATGGCTTTGACGGACCATGTCGATGTCCACCTTTTTCAAGGGCCTCTGCTATTGACAATGTTAGCCTACAATTGCAGACCTGAAATTAGACACGAGAGGATTGACCATCCAATCTATGGAAACAGACGTGTGGAGGCAAAGGTGTTAGCTTGCAATATAAAACTCTTTAGGCTCCTGGGGATATTAAATTTTTCTTCAACGCTTCCCTGGATCCACAAACTTAAACAAGAAGGCAAAGTTTTTGCAATGTCAAAGGTTTTGCTCAGCAGCTTTCAACGCACTGGCGGTGGAAGCCTCCAGTTATTTGGAGGCACTTATCTCAAGAGCAACGCACAGCCGAATCGGTTTCGGAAAGGTAAGTTCATCAAACTAGCTTCGCACTAAAACTGGCCTGCTATATTAATTATGCAGTTAGCTCCTGTGCTTCAAAGCCAGCTGAGGCTCTAGTAAGTCGAAGCACCATCGTTACAAGATTGATTGGAGCTGATTTCTTCCTACTTGTTCACAGGAGAAGCGGGAAAAGGAGAAGCAGCAGCCATATCAAGGCATTCTCCACGTCCAGGCTGGCAATCGAATTGAGGAGCTTGATCACAGAGAAACGTCGCTGCTGGTCAAGGAAGTGAAGGGATGGCTGATGAAACTCGCGAGTGGCAAGGGGGAAATCAGTCCTTCGACTTACGACACCGCCTGGGTCGCCCGAATCCCGTCCGACTCCGACTCCTCTCTTCCCGAGTTCCCGGAGGCTCTGGAGTGGATCATACACAGTCAACTTCCGGATGGATCATGGGGTGATGACTGTCACTTGCAACTCTATGACAGAGTTTTATCCACGCTCTCTTGCCTGGTCACGCTCAAGCTCTGGGACATCGGGCACAACAGCATTGCGCAAGGCATGCCTCTTTTCTGATCTTCTGGTGATATCCTGGACTGTTTTCCGACTCTGATTCTTCACAGGCACGAACTTTTTGCGTGAGAAAAGCATGACGACGGAGATTTCTTGTCAGGTTTCGAGGTGACGTTCCCAATGATGCTCCACGAAGCAAAGCAGGTGGGCCTTAAGCTTCCGTATGACACAGAGTTCACAAGGTTGCTTGAGATCTCCACCACGGAGAAATTGGCAAAGCGAGTGGAGAAGAATCCAGTACCGTGGATCCTCGCATTTGCGAGAATGGGCATTTTGACAAGGCCGTTCATGCAAGACCATTGTCTGCTGGATAGTTTCAACTTGAGCGCTGCCAGGAGCATGTTTGAGAGCATGAAGATGCGCACCTTGGTTTCCTGGACCACCAACGCTCAAAACGCTTGAAGGACAAAATCAGGAGTTAGAACCATACTCAGGTGCTTCAATCCCTTTCGAAAGCTTCCACAGTCAGACCGTTTGCTTCTACATCCCAAAGAAACCAGGGGATACATTTCAGCAGCATTCACTCTCTGCGTTATCTCTTTGGCTTCTTCCGATCCACTCTCGTAGTCTGTCATGCGTTTCCTCCAAGAAGACACAAGAGCATCGTACTCGTGCTTTTCCCACGCAGGCAGATAGCGAGTGAACGTTGTCCGCTTGGCTTTTCTGACATTGAACTCGTCTGGTGATGAAGCAGCAACAAGGGTTTTATTTCCAACCATCCGCCCCAAGTCCACTCACTGATCGATGAGATGGTATCTACTTTGCTGTCCAGCACAATCTCCTGAGGGAAGTCTTCTCTATTCACCACCCTGAGCTTGTTACCCTTGAACATCAAAACAGTCGCTCTGGACTTGTAGATCATGACCGGAAGTACCAGACGAATGCAGATTTACCAACCCCCGAATTTCCATTCAAATGGCAGCACAACATCCACATGAACGGCACCAGGATCTTCCTGATCTCTTTGTACAACCCATCCAATATCTCCTTCACATACAGCTTCAGAATATTGCTGTGGAATGTGGTCAGACGAGCACCTTGAGCAAGAAATTTCATCTGTTCCAGATGGAACATTGATCCACCATGCCTGCTGAGATCTCCTAACATAGGCTGCATGTTCCCACAGGAGGCAAAGCATATTATTGTACGTTTTAATTGAAAAGCATTTAGCTCAATGAGCTGCACAACTCCTTAAAATGGACATTCCAACAATGGCCTAATCTTCATTATTGAGCTTAGTCCTGGGTTCATTTTAAAAGATTGTAACCGAGCTTAGTCTTTGTACTGTGGGTTCCTTGTAAAAGATTGTAATTAGAAGCTCTATTAGCTAAAAGAGTGATGGAATCACAAGGAATCCAATCACGGTGGCATTCTTCAGGCCACTTTAGCACACGACAATGACATCCTCAATGTTAACAATCCACCTTGCGTGTACTAGTGCTCCACGATTGGGCAAGTCTCTGCATAGGTTCATCATTTGGCGAGGAGCCCCACGTAGCTACATGTTATAACTTATGCTCTAGCATTCTTGAGGCCAATTTCGTCCTACTAGATGGTACATCCTGACAAAGAACTTTTCTGATTTCAGAAGTGAATGTGATCTAGTCGGGAGCCATTCCTTCCAAGACCATCTCCTGGTAGAGGATCAAATTAAAGCGTGGAAGAAATTCCCAGTGAGAGCGTAGGCCTAGCAGTCCATGCGACAATGTTGTGGCACTCGGGCATTTGATCGAACATTGCCCGTGCCATGTGTGTGTCGTTTTGAGTGTAGAACTCATGCTTTTCCACGGTATGTATGGTTCTTCTCGTGCTCATTTTGCTTATACTATTGTCCAGATTGCTTCATTCCTCATAGATGTATTTTCCAAGATAAATGGAGGCCTGTAGTTCATCAACATCCAAGGCGTGGAGTGACCACAATGCAACTTGTGATGAGACGAGTTTGTGACCTCTGTATTATGCCTTCTGCTCTTTGGAAACTTTTGAGACAGCTTGCTCTCAGCTAATTGAGTTTAAGCTCGGTCAAGGCTTTCACAAGATTGGACAATAGTGTGAAAGACAAATGCCAAAACCGTGTGTTTGAGGACAAGCTTAACTAGCTAGTTGCACCAAGATCACCACCAATTCCATGAGGTGTGACTTGTTTATGTTGAATCTAGGATTTTCCTCGAGAGCTTCCCTGGTTTATTGGATGTCTGGTGCAACCCTGGAGTTTTTTTTGCAGGTGAGTAAGCTTTCACGGTTTCAGAGCAATATATTATTGCCAAGAAAAGGCATCAAAAGTTGGAGCGCCCCGAGGATTTGAAAGGATCGAAACCTATGGACCTCCAAGCTTTGACAACCAAGTGAAGAATAGATGGGACCAGGGTGCCTGGATCAAATCAAACTCGAGCTCAGACAAGCCATCTTCCACGACAATACCTTAAACGGCTGTTGCTGGTTCTTGTTGCAGCATACTTATGCTTTGTTTCTCAAAAGTAGCCTTTGCATCAGCTGCTTGTCAGATTGAGACGAAGAGTCCACCCATTTTGTTTGCCATGGCCTCGCCAGAGCATGGAGCAAGTGAGAGTTTCATTCCATCGAGAAGAGAATGGTTTCTTTCTTCAGCTTGACTGCAGCAAATTTTTCTAGACATGCAAAACAACAGAAATCTTATAAAACCCACCTTGCATATGTCTCATGAATAAGTTCGGACTTTTCAGGAGTATGGCCTCAAGCTCCTCTTTGTTTATAAATTGCTTATAAATGTAAATGCAAATGCTCTTGTGCAGGAAGCTTATGAATACTTCTTATGAAAAGCACCTCAACTCTTGTATCCATTTCCGTGGCTCGATTTTGGTAGCATCTGTAACGTTATGCGGCTGTAGAGTGGCTGTTGCCTGATGCATTCTTGAAACACTTTGCTCTCTTTAACAGAAGAAACAGTCTGTTGTAACACACAAAGCTTAGACATTTTTCACCCCAAAAGGAAAGAAATATACCTTGAGGTATAGCCTGAAGCCGTGTCCCACAACTTGACGCCCAAGGAAGTTAATCACCCATGTCAGAACAAGGTCGAGCTTAAGGTCCAGGTGTATTACTGCTCTGTAAAAGAAGTAGTGACTATCTTAAGAAGAAGAAGAAAAAAAAAAAAAAACTAATAGCGTACCTTATGTAGCATTTCTTGTCGCTAATCTTCTGGAGGATGAATCCACCGTTGGCTTCCATGCGAATGACGCCCTCTTTTGGAGGAGGCAAATGAGAAGCATTAAAACCATGGATGGTCTCCTTGATGATAGTCTCTGCTTCCTGGGGGACCTGGCAAATCACCACCATTGGAGTGAATAAAATAACAAAAGAGGTGATAGCTGAACTGTTCGCAAGCAGCCAACCACGGCATCCAATTCAGGTAGCTCCAGTTCGAAAGACGTGACCAGCATTTCTCTTGTCGCAAACGGCCATGGAACCTTGCACCTGGCAAGAGCTTGTAGAATTTAAACGCGGGACGGAGGAGCTGCTACACTACCACCAGCGTTGTGGCTTTTGGATTGATCAGCAGGGCACAAGGGATATACGTTGCAGTGAAAGCATTGCTTTCCCACAGTTCATCTTTCGCCCTTTTTGCTCTAAATACTCTTGTGAAGGACAGCCACCTTTTTATTTTCCATGCATTGCCCCCTCTTCTTCACACAGGGTGTGACTTGAAATTTCATGGATTTTTTCAAATGTTTGGTCTTGTTGCTGCTAGGAACAAGCATCAAACTTGGATAGAACACGACAAGAAAGCCCCTTGATGAAATCTCAAGCTCCCCAGGATTTGAAAGAACAGAGAAGTACCTCCAGCCTTGGACTCTTAACTTTGCTGCTAATCAAGAGCGTGCCTGGATCAATTTAATCTTCAATGCTCAAACAAGCCATCTTCGGACATTCAGTCGTTGGATGCAGCAAACCTTGTTTCTCAAAAGAAGAAAAGGTAGGTTATCCCAGGGATTCAGTGGTGAAATCTTCATTCCATAATGGTTTCTTTCTTGAGCTTGACAACCGCAGAAAGGATGACAGCCTTATAAAACGTTCCCACGGGTTTAGAAAGGATGCTTAGAAATGAGCGAGAGCTTGCGCCGTTATGGTGAAGGTATGATATACGTTAAGAAGCAATTAGTGTCCGATTTGGATGGGAACCTGATGGCCGGATATCTGGCTAGAATAAACAAATATATTGGCAAGGTCACAGGTTCGAATCCACAGCCAGCGACCCAATCAAAAAAATTTGCAACGCTTCTCCCTCCTTTGCATCTTGCAAGCTACTGTGATCAGAGCGAGCTCTTCTGCCTGCAGTCATCTCGGGATGAGAACTACTTGTCGTCCATAGCCCAAGACTACAGCATGTCCACGATCATGGAACACTTAAGATGCTTGGTGGATCTCCTGGGGAGATCTGGGAAGCTAGACGAGGCCAGTGTCGAGCCAAATTTCAGCGCTGGAGAATGAAAGAGTGGGGAAAAGTCCGATGCTAGTGCAGCTCCAACCACTCTTCTCAATCCCTGTCGATTACACTCGAAGGAATGTCCCTGAATGAGGCTCGAATCATTGATAGCTGCCAAGAGAAATAACTGGATGCTCGAAAAAGAGTAACAAGGGCAAATGCCGCGATCGCAATCTTCCACGAGAGAGAACCTCGATCTTTCATCTTCTGGAAGATTTCCAGCACCCGCACTTTCCATACATTTCTATGACCAGATTAGCAAGGAACCTCGAGGCCGCTGGAGACGATTTTCCTCGTGGATGCGCCTTCCCCCTCCCAGATCTGTGCTCACCGCATTCTCGCCCAGGCGCCCACCGCTGGAGATCGCTCCTCCTTGCTGCAAATCTTCGCTGGATGGCACCTCCTCGTCAAGGCTCAAGAACGATGCCATGGAAAACCACCGCCATTGCCATTATACGCTACTGCTGCACATTTTCGATCCAGGGGGCTCTTTACCCGGGCGGTCTGCTGCTGCCGGGCGTGCTCTACAAGTCGAGCAGCATGGTCTTTCTTCTCAGTCTCAGACATCTTCAAACTAGGCTCACAAGCACAAGCACTGCTTTTCCGCGGTATGTATGGTTCTTCTCGTGCTCATTTTGCTTATACTCTTGCCAGTCCAGATCACTTCATTCCTCATCTTCGCCACCCTTTGGCCTCGAGCATTTTCCAAGATAAAATAGAGGCCTGTAGTTCATCAACATCCAAGGCGTGGAGTGACCACAACGCAACTTGTGATGAGATGAGTTGGTGACCTGGTATACTTTTTTGTGTTATGCCATCTGCTCTTTGGAAACTTTTGAGAAAGCTTGCTCTCAGCCGATTGAGTTTGAGCTTGGTCAAGGCTCTCACAGGTTTATTGGATCTCTGGTGCAACCCTGGAGTTTTGTTTGCGGGTGAGTAAGCTTTCACGGTTTCAGAGCAATATATTATATTATTGCCAAGAAAAGGCATCAAAACTTGGAGCTCCAGAGTCTCACGCCCCGAGGATTTGAAAGGATCCAAACCTATGGACCTCCAGCTTGGACAACCAAGTGAAGAATAGATTCCCGGGACCATGGTGCCTGGATCAAATCAAACTCGAGCTCAGACAAGCCATCTTCCAGAACAATATCTCAAACGGATACTTTGTTTCTCAAAAATAGCTTCTGCATCAGCTGCTTGCTCAGATTGAGATGCAGAGTCCATCCAACCCGTTTTGTTTGCCATGGCCTCGCCAGAGCATGGAGAAAGTGAGAGTTTCATTCCATCGAGAAGAGAATGGTTTCTTTCTTGAGCTTGACAGCAGCAACGCGCTGCACGCCATGCGCCCACAAAACGAAAATCTGTTGCGCCGCTGTTTACATTATGGTATACGTTAAGAAGCAATTAGTGTACACTTTGGACGGGATCCTGATGGCCGGATATCTGGCTAGAATAAAAAAATATATTGGCAAGGTCACAGGTTCGAACCCACAGCCAGAGACCCAATCAATTTTTTTTGTATGAACGAGGGATTTCTCTTCTCCGCAAAGTCGCGGAGCTAAATCTTCTCTCGTGCCGATCCCCCAGGCGCGACGCCACGAATGATCCACGCCGCCGCGCCGGGTTCAGGCTCTTGGATCGCGCGATATTCTTGGATTTCGCTGGCAAATGCGAGCAGCAGGAACAGGGCATTCGATCGATGCGGCGTCAGTCTTGTTCGATTAGGAGTTCCGTGAACGTCTCCTGGAACGCGATGATCACCGCGTATGTGGCGGCATCCCGCATCCGAGAAGAAATCTTTGATTTCATGCCGGATGAAGACGGTATTGATTCGGCCAGTAGCTGCTCTCCAGGATCCGCGCGTGGATCCTCTGGCCTCGCAGCCCCTGGATGTCGTCCACGTGGGCAGTCAGATGGATTCCAAATCTTAAATCCAATAAGAGGAGTTGAAACAATATTTTGTTATCTCCCAGTGTTCATGGCTTTGTGGTTATAGCATGCATGCTGTAATGTTCTATTGTGAAGGGTTGCTGGGTTCGATTCCCATCCATCTCGACTTTCAATTAAGAATAATACGGTGTTAGGGTCGCAAACAGATTGACTATCTCCAATGTAGTCATGCAATCAAATTTTGTGGAAGGGAAGATATATATTTGATTTGTGCTGTTTGGGAAGGGAAGATATATATTTGATTTACACACAAACAGCACAAACATGCCATTGAGCTTACCAATTCGATCATATATACCAGTTGTCACTTCAGCATAATCTATCAATCACACATAATGTTGTGCCATTGAATTCTCAATGGCCCTGCCAGCATATGCAAGCCTTCCTCACCATTTGAACAAGAAAGATGCTAGACAACAAGCTAGAAATAGTGAATGAGAATGAACTTTTAAACGCAGTTTATATTAGTGGTAACTACAAACAAATAAAAGGTTAAGAGCGATACATCACAGCCGTTGGATTAAAGGATATCTTAGAATATACCATCCAAACCGTTAGATTTTAGTGCAGAGACTCGGGTATTCGTCTTCCTCTGTGCAGCGGAAAGCTGCCATCTCTCGATGTTTGGGTGGCTTGAATCCCTCGGAGCTCTCCATCCGGTTGCATCGGGTATTCGTCTTCCTCTATGCAGCGGAAAGCTGCCATCTCTCGATGTTTGGGTGGCTTGAATCCCTCGGAGCTCTCCATCCGGTTGCACCCAGACAAAGGTGACGTTTTCCATCCCCTCTCTCTCAACTACACAACGGGCCTGTCGTGCCAGACTTGGGACGACTCACGAGCCCAAGCGAAAACTCGTGCAAACGGAACATCTCAATCCATCTTATGAGCCCAAGAGCAAGCTCATATAATACGGTACAAAACGGTAACCAAATCCATACCCAAGGAACGATTGCGAAGTCTTAGCACCCAAACGTGTACCCACTCGAATCATCGTTTTCATCTCTGCGTATGCAATGAGACTAGTTGCCCAATCTCATTGGATAGTATCGCTGAGACGTATCCTCTGATACCAAATGTAGCGCACGTGGTTTTGACCCTTTATCCTATGGTGATTTACCATAGGATAACACCACAAGTGGAACCTAGACCCTCTTTGTGCCACATGACAGATGCCACGTGTCACATGCCACGTGTCTATAGGAACCCGAGGTTCAGGGCCTTGGGCCACTGAACGAAGGAACGGTGCCAAACTCCTAAGCATGGGGCCAAGGAGTGACAGAACCGATCCACGGAGCAACTCCCGAGCGTAAAGCCTAAAGAGCGAAGGGACAGGAGCCCAGAGCGACTTGGAACAGTCCTAGAGTGACCAACATCCTAATGCCAGGACCAGCACGCAAAACGGGGCCAAACCGAGTCTGGCGCTATTTCAGCATACCGGTGGCCTAACACGAAGACATGGGTACTCCACCAACTAGCATGGTGTGGAGCTTGGGCTTAGACCCAAGCCGGACGCAGAATAAGGACAGGCATGCAAGCGGGAGCTAGATTATGCCTCAGGTTGGTTGGCCATGCCCGACCTACCCACTATCCCTACTATACATTTGGAACCCCCCCCCCTTCCCCTTGAGGAACACATGCTTTGGGCTTTCACCCCAAGCTTACCCTTAGTACCAGGAGTTAGTTTCTGGGACAAGCTTGAAACTTACTAAATATAGAATGGCGCTAGATTGCGAATTTGGACATGGGACAAACACCAT